GAGTTTGCTGCCTGAGCCAGGCTGCTGCAGATTGCTGGAGCCAAGATGTAGGTTTAAGCAAGGAGGTTGTGTTGTGCTTAAAGGCGCCACTCTCAGTGACCCATGCATGCATATACCACGCCTTTGCAAGCCAAAACCAAGGTCCAGTGTTGCTGATGGTGCTTCTGCTCATACTTGCATCAAAATGTACCCTAGTCCTCCTTTGGACTAGGGCTTGGAGCAGATGCTATTTCCATTTTCATTCCCAGTGAAGAAATTGCTTGGCCTTTTCCTTGGCTTAGTTAGCTGATCATGTGCTTTGTTTAGGGTTTGTGCATCTTCTCTGTGAGCTGGTACTGGGGCACAGGTGTCTTCCAACAGCAGTGGATTTCCTATTGTGGGTCTCTGGGAGCTTTATGGTTCTGAAAATCTGTTCTCTACGTGTTGTGTACTGACCTGACCATGTGCGCGATCCGGTTTCAGCCAGTCTGCTCATGCGAAAAGCCTGAGCTTCACTACACCAAAACAATAGACGGTCGGATCCTAGTCCCCTTCCAATCGGGAGACTAGGATCCTAGAGTTAACTCAATCAATGTAAATAAACCTATCACGGGTGTTGGGGTGTGTTTGGGTGTGGTTTTGCTTCAGGATATAAGCCGGCCTGCGAGCTGGCTTCTGTGTCTTGTTCCTGCACTATCTAATAAACCTATGAGCTGATTTCACTACATCATGAATCGGACCCAGTACTTTTCACTACACATGTCAGGTTTCCAATGTAAATGAATTCCTTACATCAGAACTTTGGAACGCCTTGCAAGTTCTTGTGCTGCAAAATTCAGTACTTAAATGAGAGGATTTTTGTCTTTCCTTTCAGTTATCTATTTCTGTTTTATCTTTGATCTGTGCTGTGACTTGGGGTTATCAAAGTGATTCCTTTGCTGATGTGACAAACTGGAGCTTCTGATTCATGAGGATAGTTGAGGTATTTGATTTTCAGGTTGCCTTCTGGTAGTTTAGTAAACCAAGGTCAAATCAACCTTTTCATGTATGTGAAGCAAAGCACCCTAGTTTTACCAAGGGTTAACACAAATAATACTGGGTCTGCTTCAGCTTGCAGGTGTTTTTAATTAGCCTTTCTCATAGGTAATATCTGTATCTCTTTCAAGGCCTGATGTCAGAATGTGGTAATTGGCTAAGTGAAAAACCTGTGCTCAGCACAGGGTAAAAGAGGAGAGTGCAAAAGTGGGCTTGAAGATCAACATCAAAAAACCTAAGATCATGGCATCTGGCCCCATCACTCCTTGGCAAATAGAAGGAGAAGTTGTGGAAGTAGTGACAGACTTCACGTTCCTGGGATCCCAGATCACCGCAGACTGTGACAGCAGCCATGAAATTAAAAGATGCCTGCTCCTTGGGAGGAAAGCGATGGCGAATCTAAACAGCATGATAAAACGTAGAGACATCTCCCTGCCAACAAAAGTCCGCATGGTCAAAGCAATGGTATTCCCAGTAGTCATGTATGGCTGCGAGAATTGGACTATAAGGAAGGCCGAGCGCCGAAGAATAGATTCTTTTGAACTATGGTGCTGGAGAAGACTCTTGAGAGTCCCTTGGACTGCAAGGAGATCGAATCAGTCAATCCTAAAAGAAATCAACCCTGACTGTTCCCTGGAAGGCCAGATACTGAAACTGAAGCTCAAATACTTTGGCCACCCAATGAGAAGGGAGCACTCCCTGGAGAAGACCCTGATGCTGGGAAAGATTGAAGGTCAAAGAAGACGGGGACGGCAAAGGATGAGATGGTTAGACAGTGTCATAGATGCAACGAACATGAAATTGAGCCAACTTCAGAGGACGGCGGAAGACAGGAAGGCCTGGCGTGATCTGGTCCATGGGGTCGCGAAGAGTCGGACTCGACTGTGCAACTAAACAACAACAACAACAATGGGAATGAGAGATTTTTAATTGGAGGAGATCTGTTATATCGGCAAGCACTGGAGTTCTGACTCACCAGAAAGGCATCACTCCCAGCCAGGTACAGCATAAAAGAAGGTGGCCAGCTGGAGGAGAAAATTCTGCTGATAGAACAAACTCTCCAAGAATGGAGGTGGTGAGTAAGACTTCTCCAGTGGAAGCTCTAGAAGGCCTAATCCCCTCCCCCTGTTGCTAAAGAAGCTTTGTCTAACTTGGAAACACTGCGAGCAGAGGCGGTTGTGAGCTTTTCTCCCTTGGAGGCCTCTAAGGTTGTGACAGCCGATAGGAATGCCATTTATTAGGTGATAATATCAGTTTATTAGCTGACTATCCTCGAACTTGAAGGGGATCGGAACCACCTGTTTCATGTGGAATGATGGACTATTATATCGTGAATATGTGCTAAGGACCACTCGAAAGGAAGTAAGCCAGTTTGCCAGCTTGTGGTTCCACATTAATTTAGAGAAGAGACCCTTAAGGCAGCCCATCACATTCCTTTTGTTGGACATTTGGGCATGGGAGAGACATCGGCTAAAGTCAGTCGATCCTTTTATTGGCGTGATATAAACAAAAGCATCTCGACTTGGTGTAACACTTGTGAATATCTGTATCTCTTTCAAGGCCTATCAGAATGTGGTGACTGGAAATCGAAACAAAAACATCCATGACAAAAACAACAAAAAGTCAATTATTTATTTATTTGTTTGTTTATTTATTTATTTATTTTATTTATACTCTCTGGGGTATATATTATACCCCGCGAGCGGGCTCAGGGCGGCTAACACTGCGGTACAATGTACCTAAATGACATACATAAGACTTAAAACTCTATAAAATATCATAAGCAAATACTTTAAAACATAAATTAACAGTTTCTACTAAAGTGCATACAGTACAACACATTAGATGACGTGCTTCCAGATCTCATACTACATTATTACACCACTCATCATCCCTCGCGCCAGAAAGCCTGGCGATGTCCAGGACCAGATCTAAGATCCCAGCCTTCACTAGGATCACTGGTGGTAACAGTGGTGGCGGCTCCTATTAGAAAGCCTGGTGGAAGAGCTCCGTCTTGCAGGCCCTGCGGAACTGTAAAAGGTCCCGCAGGGCCCTGATCTCCTCCGGGAGCTCATTCCACCAGTAGGGAGCCGCCACAGAAAAAGCTCTGGTCCTAGTGCTGGTGAGCCTTGCCTCCTTGGGGCCCGGGATAGTCAACCGGTGTTGGGCCCCAGACCGTAGTGCTCTCTGGGGTATATATGGGGAAAATAAAGATATATATGCAAAATTGTTTACTATAATAATTATGTGGGAAACTCTCTTCTTCTATCGCGCGCACACAACGAATTTTGTGCAATGTAAAAAATATCCATTTCGCAGGATTGCTTTATCTGAGCATGTAGCAATTACAGTTCTTACCAATTTTCACTTATCAACTCTTGAAGGAAACATCCCGTGTTGACTCTCTGATATCAGAACTGTGGGATTTGAACCTGGATCTCCCAGATCCTAGTCCAACACTAACCACTAACACCAGGCTGGCTCTCTAAATGCGTCCTCTGCACACAGTTTGCCTTCCAAGTATGTCGACCCTGTTAAGTATTAAGTTGGTCACCTGCTTAGCAGTGGTGGTGTTCTAATTATCTCTGAAAAAAAGGGGGATGCTGTGGCTAAATGGTAGAGCCTGTGCTTTGTGTGCCAAAGATGTTGTGTTCAGTCCCAAGCATCTCTTGGTTAAAGGAGCCAGTTCTGGGAAAGATATTTTTCTGCCTGAGATACTGAAGAGTTGCAGCCCGTCAGAAGGGGTAGTGGTGGTGGTCCGCTAAATATAAAAAAGAATTCCTTGGCCTGCAGTAGGCTCCGCAAACATCCTTTCCTTTCTGACTCTGTAACGTTTCTGTTTCTGTAACTAGGGGTCAGTATTCCTGGGTTACCTCAAGAACTATTAAGAAAAGTGCACAGTTTGGGTGGCAGTGGCGGGGAGGTAGGGGTACAGAATTCCTTTATTTGTTTCTAGTTCGGCTAAGATACTGTTTCTTGTTCTTGCTAAGATCAGTCCCACTCTTCTCCCCGGCTGTGCTTCCAGTTTCAAAGTCCATGGACAGCTTTCTTCATACAGGGCTTTGTGGGAAGGCCACGTGGTCCAAGTCTGGGATTAGTTTCTATGTCAGAAGATGTTGCTTACAGCTACAGGCATACTTGAGACCCAGCTCTTCTAATTTCTGAATCAATCCACAGCATATCACATAATGGAGGGAGATGTTCAAGGAACAGAGCTGGACCTAGTTTAATAATTCTTCCCTCTTCCCCAGAGAACCCTGAGAGTTGTAAATCTGTGGGGGAGGTGTGGATGGGGAGAGTAGCAGTTTCTTTTTTTAATTTTGTTCATTGGTTTTCATATGTACATAACCATTGTTTCATTTATATACATACATCTTAGAGTCATTTATCTGTTTTCTAACCATTTATACATTCCCAACCATCGTTTTACAAAAATTTCTTCACGTTTCCCCTGTAACATTAAACTCAATTTATCAATTTCGGCTACTCCCATCTATTACTTCGTCTTGTTTGGGGTTATTATCTTGCTTCCAGTATTTCGCCCATTGTATCCTAGCTGTAGTTATTATATATAATATTAAGTATCTTTCATTGTAGTTAATGTGTTCTGGAATCATGTTAAGTAAAAATATTTCCGGCATTAAATCCAGTTTCACTTTTACCATTTCCTGTGTTACTTTCTGTATAGATTTCCAGTATTTCTGTATATTATTGCATCTCCACCACATATGGTAAAATGTTCCAACACTTGTTTTACATTTCCAACAGATGTTGGAACAACTTGCATAACATTTTGCTATTCTTTTTGGTGGGGGAGAGTAGGAGCTTCTGAAAAAATCCTAGCAGCCTGTTTCCCAAGGTTCCTTAGGAGAATCCATGATGCTTATAAAGTAGGTGTTTTGGGGGGGAAATCCATAGTCTTGGATCTGGTGTAAAATTATTTCCTCTCTGCATATTCAGTGTTTTGTTGTCTTGTCTTTGTGTAGGTGGCTAGGATGGAGAAGACTTGGAGCATCACCTAAAGCTGCACACTTACCTCGCGAGAGATTTCTTAGTGTCTACGGCAGGGAATGAAATTATGGTCCTGGTGTTCTGACTGGACCCCCTGGTGGCATTCACAGCTATTGTATATTAATGGGCTGTACCTGAGAGTCCTTTGAGAAATCCTTTATGTTTGGACATAAATGGTGTTGACTTGATGGAGTCGCATCAAGTTATTCATATGGACCCTGACACTGATAGGGACTCCTTGCTGGATCTCAGCTTCCTGACTGAGGAGGAACAGAACGCCATTGCAGAAGTGCTGCAGAGGGACTCACAGCTCCGAATGCTGGAGGAGGGACGAATCAGGTGAGTCAGCTGCCCTGACAAACTGGCTAAGATAACTGACCACCAGTGCAATCCCTAAGCAGAGCTGGACCCTTCAAAGTCCACTGATGGGCAGAGAACAATGTAACTCTGTTTAGGATAGTACTGTGTGTTACCTAAAAGCGGGGCCCACAGTTCAGGTGGGAGAGCACCTGCTAGTATCTGGGAGTGTTAAGTCGGCTACTTAACAAAGAGTCAGAGAGTGATTCAGCAAAAGGTTCAGCTTTATTCAGCAACTCGTAACTCAACTCCAACAGATCAACTCGAATAGCCAGAACAGCTTTTACATTGAAGCTGTTCTGCTTTTAAACTCTCCCGGCTAATGTAGCCACGCCCTATTATACAATATCAACCAATAAGATTGTAGGGATAAGGTCCTATCACGATAGTTCCCGCTCAGGGAACTTGATGGTATGCGATTGGTCGGCTCTTCCTGGGCTACCAATAGGGATTGTAAGATTAGGATCCTTGCCCAGGATGAAGCTTAGCATGGTGCTTCAATTAGGTGATTCACATGCATACAATTGAATACACCACAGGGAGATCCAAGGTCAGATTCCCACTGTGCCGTGGAAGCTTGCTGGGTGACCTTGGTCCAGTTACTTACTCTCTGCCTAACCTACTGCACAGGGTTGTTGTAAGGATAAAATGGAGGAGGTTCCCAAGGGGGAGAAAGGTGGGATAGAAGTGAAGTGATCAAATTTGACAAATCAGATATTACTTGATGGTTTAATAAAAAAGACAGAATTTAGCAGCAAGCTGGGAGTCTATATAATGAATAACAGTGGAATGTTAAAACTTGGAGAAATCATTCTATGTGGGATCTGCCTTGGTGAAGCACTGAAACGGGATCCGAGCCATCCCGCTGTGGAAACCGCAAGAGGTGCTATGTAAAACTACAACATGGAAGAGGAAAACAGAAGAAAGATGGACCACAAAACAGGACTGTTTACATTAATGTATCTATTGGCATGTTTTCACCCTTAGAAGTTTGGTGAAATGTTTATAAATAGAAACTTTTGTTGATTGTGAAACGGTGAAGGAGTTGCAGTAAGCTTTCATAATACAAAGATACAGTTATTATATCACGGTTGTATTTTGTTATTTACCCACCTGGAGGCTGGCAGCCTGGTGTGCAGTTGAGGTAAACAGTTGCTGGGAAAATAACAGACCTTGCCTTCTGCTTGTCTGACCAGAAAACTAATGAATGAACACACAAAAATCTAGCCAGGACAGTTTCCTCCTCTCCACCCCATCAAACTAGCGACTGAAATCCTATTCTGGGATCCATTAAGAAAGTAATGTACTTTCTTTGGGTGGACTTTGGCAAACATGTTTAAATTGCATAAATATGATTCTGTTTCTGCTTGCAGTGCCTGCAATTGTTTTATGGAAGGGGGTTTCTGTGTATGAGAGGAACCTCCCAACTTTGGAGAGATTTTGGAGGCTCTACAAGGCAGAGCTTTTCCAACCCATTTTTGTGGCTTGTGAGCAAGAGATCAATTATTATGATGGCTCTCTTGCTATTAGTATTAGTAGGGCTATTTTTGGTCAGGAACGCACAGGAATGGAATTCCGGCTGGCTTCAGAGTTGGCCATGCCCACTACAGCCAAAATCTCTGCATGCGTGGCTACAGAGGGAAGGCCTGAAGAGCGACACCCCGCCCCCCCGCCGACTCCGAGGTGTGCAGGCCAGGGCCCCCCCTGGAAGGATCGGGGAGGCATTGAAATGCCTCCCTTTGCCTTCCCTGGCCTGCCTTCCCTTCCCTTCAAGGGCCAGCTCGCCAAGGGAAGCCAAGGGAATGCATGGGGTGTGGCCTAATATGCTAATGAGCTGCACTGTCAGGGGTGTGGCCTATTATGCTAATGAGTTCCTGCTGGGCTTTTTCTACAAAAAAAGCCCTGAGTATTAGTATTTGTTTGTGTGTGTGTGTGAGTGAGAGAAAGAGAGAGAGAGATTAGGGTTTTTTTAGTGGATGTAAGCCACTTTGAGTCCTGTTGGTCAGGAAAAAAGCAGGATATAAATATTTTGAAATAAATGTAAATAAATGAACAGTTATTATTTGGCAACATTCAAATGACTGAATGGATACTTTTTTGTGGGCATTGCTGCTGAATTAAAAACCTGACTCTGGAAATATTTCCTACTTCCTTGTGCTAAAGAAAGAAGGACCCCAAAGTGCCCAGCAGTCTCTGAAACATTTCTATTATGCAACATAACAGTGAGAGTCTGATCCTCTGGAAGCATCCCAAATTGTCTCTTTCTGTTTGTTTTCCTTCCCTCAAGCAAACTGCGGGAGTCTGTCTCTGATCCCAGCTGGCTGAAAATCCTCTCCGGGGAATGGTTCTGTGACCTCCAGTCCAAGCGGCACAATCACTTTGGCTCGGACCTTGTCCGGGCTTCTATCCGCAGAAAGAAGAAGCCCAAAGGTAAAGAGACCACTGTGCCACAATACTCTACTACCCCAGCAGCAAAATCCCTCCCAGGCCTTAGGGCCCAGTTTCTCTCCACAGAAAAGGGACACATTTTAAAGACAATAAACATAGCTTTGCTGGATTCGACCGAAAGGCCTATGACTTGTGTTCTGTTTCCAACAGTAGGTGCCTAAGGAAACTCATAACTTCAAAGGCTATGCCACAATTTACTAAGGGACTTTAGGCCAGCCATTCCCCCCCCCCCTTCTGCAAAATGGAGCTAATAATACTAGCCTGCTTTACAGGATTGTTGTAAAAATTATAACACTATAATATGTGTGAAGCTCTTTGAGCACTGAAATAATTATATAAATCTCGGTGTGAGGAAAGTGAAGGCTTTTTTCTTTTTGTTTATGCCCAGTGTGCGGTATTCAAGGGTATAGTCTCTGTACATCAAGGTTTTATGTAGCAGTGATGGCTAATGGTGACTTTTGTGATGCTGTGGATTTTTTTAAAAAATATCATGAGATGATAATGGTCTGAAAGGGGTTTCCTCTGTACCAAAGCATTTGAATGGGGGCCAAAGCAACGGGGAAGCCTGGGAGACCTGGAGCCAATCAGGGAGCCTTCTGCAGAGGAGGAGAAGGAGCACATCTTTGACGTGCAGGATGCTGTGGACGGGTGAGACACTTTGATGTTTGGGTGGGGAAGGGAGGTTGGTGTTTTTTGGTTGGGAAGGTCAATAACTGAAACAGGCTGCACATTTCCTTTTATAATTCCACAAAGAAAAGCACTAGAGACTTACTTTAAAAAAATAATGTTGGGAAACGACTAGATTATATCAACAGACTGCTATAAAGTTGTAATATGATAATAGTCCAGACACACGCACCCCGCCCCTTTTAAATAAGGCCTCTGGCTTCAGGGAGCTACGGCAAGGAAAGTGCAGGGAAAACCAGTGTGTGGACACTCTACTGACACTGCAAATGCCCCTGCAATGAGAGCCACATAGAGAATTGTCTTTGTATGGAAACAGATTAGCCTCAGCAAGCCTGCAGTGGATGCTGGAGAAATTGTCAGTGAGGGCTTCTAGGGAATAATCACTGAAGTACTTTGAACCCCCTTTCGTCTTAGAAATACTTACAAAATCCCTATAAGGGAGGCCGTTCAGCCCTGTTAAATTAAAACTACTAGACAGATTGGGTTTTGTTTTTGAAAACCTAACCGTTGACCACCTAACTGGGTTCTTACTCTGTTGCAGACAGATCACAACCTCAGCAGAGGGGTGGTCTTCTCTTGTACAGATCTGCCTGTTTGCTTTCCTTGTTGTCAGAGATCCTGCTCTGGGTGCCCCTAACCTGAGGTTTCTGGCAAGGTCTTTTTGGTGATGGCACTCTCTCTTTGGGACCAGGGTTGCCCATTTCCAGATGGGGTCTGGACTTTGCCCGGAATGACAACTGATCCTCAGACTGCGGAGATCAGCTCCTTGGGAGAAAATGGCAGCCTTAGAGGGTGGACTCTGTGTCGGATTGCCAGTCCCTCGCTAGAGGTGTGAGATCCCTCGGCCCCATTTTTATCTGTCACAGTTCGAAAGCAAGAAATTGCAAGTAGATAAATAGGGACCACTTTGGTGGGAAGGTAACAGCGTTCCTTGCGCCTTGGTGTTTAGTCATGCCGGCCACATGACCACGGAAATGTCTTCGGACAGCGCTGGCTCTTCGGCTTTGTAACGGAGATGAGCACCGCAACCCTAGAGTCGGATTCGACTGGCTTTCGAGCAAGGGAACCTTTACCTTTACCTTTACCTGAGTGGTGGCGGGAGCAAAATAACATTAAAAAATAGCCATGGGGTCTGTGACATGTCAGTACTCCCAGGGAAACCCTGGAAGTGACTTCATACCTCTCTAGGAATTGCCAGTATCTCTGCCATTTAGGTACGGAGAGAAGGTCGTTCTATAGGATTTCATATGATTTTTGCTTCTTGCTGGGCTTTCTCTGTTCTGCTTTTAATATCTGTTGTGAAATTGTTCCTGGGAGGAAAAACACAGAGCATGCTCCCCCCTCATTTATTCAATGCCTTGTCCTGAAAGAGTAACCATGTTTCTGTTGCCTTGTAGGCTTCCCAGCGAAGGAGTTCCTTCACTGACTTGGTCCAAAGATCCGCAGGTAAGTTTGCTTGGCAGCCACAAGCGGCAGCATGTATGGTTTTGAGCAGGGCCTGAATTGGCCTCGAGCAGCTTTCTTTGGGTCTCAATAGCCTTGGACCCCAAATGTGTGAAGGCTATTCACACACTGGCTTGGATTTTCCTGCTGTGCCAGCCCACCTGCTCATTGCTGGCAAGTATGTGGGGTGGTGTTAAATCAAACATGGTGTTAAATCAAACATGGCATGGGCAACAGTGAGCACAACGTTGCCGGCCTTACTCCTGAAGGTGGCTCCCCTATATGCTGAAAACTTGGGGTGCACATCCTTTAATATTCTTCCCAACTTCTCCTCTTGAGAGCACAGCTTCCTAACTAAAATGTACTGAGCGAGAGGCAGTGAATTCAGCTCATACATTTATTAAAGATACGGAACAAGACAAGAGACCCCGGCTCGCAGGCCGGCTTTTATGTGCATTACACCCACAGCCATGACACACACCCCCACAACCGTGATAGGGTATTTACAGTGGCCGAGAGTTCCATAGGTCCTGGCTAGGACCCTAGACCTCCGATTGGTGCTAGCTAGGATCCGCTTGGCCCATTGTCTCTCGGAGCAAAGCTCAGAGGCTTCGCATGACCGCGTGGCGAGCTAGCTTCGCACGCAGTTGGAGATGAATACATTACACTAACTCTATCGGAGGGGGAGGGAGGATGATTGCCGTGTTCAGAGTGGAAGCTTTCAAGATGCAAATGTTCTGGGAGGCTCAGAGCCCCCATTCTTTCTTTGCTACTGAATCCATGTGACCTTGACACACTGCTTTGGTTGCACTGCTCTTTGTTCTGAAGGGATTTTTTTGGGGGGGGAGTGGTAATATGTATGATTTGCATATACAAATATAAATTGGAATACAGTTGTGTGAGGAGCTGAAACGCAGGCCTCTCTAGATGGCTGTTTTGTCTCTGCAGGATGAAACCCAGTCCCTCGAACAGGTGGCTGAGACCAAGCCAGGTAAACACAAATATACAGAAGATTCTAGTGTTTGTCTTATTTTGTGCATCAGCATTTAAGGGAATGGTGGTGTGCAGTCTGTTTTCCTGGCAAAAGGCCAGGATCTCAGCCTGGTCTCTCTTTTGGCTTTAAATCTTCCCCCACGATGGTTAACCAAAGCCTTTTTGCTCCCGGAGGCCAAAAGGCTAAACTGGCTATTCTGCTGAGACTGCATTGGGCTCGCCCATGGTGTTTGCTCTGGGGTGATGCTATCTTTTATGGGACCCATTGTGCCTGGGAGCAAGGTGATCCCTGTTGTCCAGCTGCCATGGGCATTTAATTGGAGAGCTCATAAACTGTATGCAATGGGAAAAAACCCCTCAATGTTTTGACGAATTAATGGTGCAGATTTCCCCTTCTTGAACATTCTACTAAGTGGTTCTGCTTCTCCTGGTTCTGGGATGGGACAAAGGCACTATGGAAGGTGTCAGAGGCTCTCCCATTGGAAATCCTGTTCCCCCCCCCCCCCAGGTTTTTTACCAGGTATTTTTCAAATATTTTCAAACCTTGGTGAAACCAGATATTCTCAAGAGCCTGAATTCTGTACAGGATACTGGATTTCAAGCTTATGTGGAATTGCTGTGTGGTTTTTTTTTGTGTGTGTGTGTAGTCCATTCCATCAAAATTGGCTTCCAAGACAGCTAACAACCAAGAGAGAGAAAAAGGTAGAATTCACTGGAATAAAATAACACATATGATAGAAGCAGCCGACAGTAGAACAGCAGTAAAATGCAACCCCGCAAATAAAATATCCTCAAAGACTTCCATGATTTAATTTTTAAAAACCTTTCCATTGGTGTATAAAAGATAGTCATGTAGGTGCATCATACATACAACCCTGCTCGTAAACTGTGGATGAGTCAAAAATTGCAGTACAATGGTGCATACTTTGGCAGGTTTTCTACCGTCTGTTACTCAGCTGCTTCCCCCCCCCTCCATCTTTGCAGCCACGAGAAGTGACTCCTTCAGTAGCCTGAGTTCAGAGACTGAGGAAGACGAGAGACAGCAGACCCACCCGCAGCCAGCCATCTTGGTTTCAGTGCAGGTAGGAATATTGCTAGGCAGTCCAATACAGGCTTAAAGGTAAAGGTTCCCTTGCTCGAAAGCCAGTCGAATCCGACTCTAGGGTTGCGGTGCTCATCTCCATTTCAATGCCGAAGAGCCAGTGCTGTCCGAAGACGTTTCCATGGTCATGTGGCCGGCATGACTAAACACCAAGGCGCACGGAATGCTGTTCCCTTCCCACCGAAGTGGTACCTATTTATCTACTTGCAATTTCTTGCTTTCGAACTGCTAGGTTGGCAGGAGCTGGAACTAGAGACGGGAGCTCACTCCGTCATGCGGCACACTCGGGTCTTGAACTGCTGAACTACCGACCTTCCACAGCCTGCAGTTCAGCGTCTTAACCACTCGAGCCACCGCAGCTCCTCAATACAGGCTTACCTTCTGTCAAAAACGAGAAATCTAGTATGGTATAGTGGTTAGACTGTTAGACTAGAACTGGGAAGACCTGGGTTTGAATCCCTGCTCAACCGTGAAGCCCTTAGAGGGAGACCTTTGGCCAGTCACGTAATCTCCACTTAACCTACCTCACAGGATTGTTGTGTGGATAATATGGGGGAGGGGAGAACAATGTAAGCCACCCCAAGCTCCTCGGAGGGATAAAAAATGTGATAGGTGGGATAACTGCAAGCCAAGGTAACAGACTGAATGGCTACTTCACACCCGTTTTCCAATCTGAAAAATGAGACCAAGAGTGGCCCCTCTAATAGGGTGGCTTGGGAGGAGAGAGGATACGAAACGTTGTTGACAACAGCAAACGCTGATGTTTTATAGACAGGTATCTCTGTATATGTAACACACTGATCACCCCTTATTTTGTGCCTGCCAAAACACAGAGCGGCCTGTGAAACTGCATGGCTTTTTACCAGGGGTCGTTTCGTAGAAAAAGAGCTAGGGGAACTCATTAGCATAACTCATTAGCATGTGCCACACCCCCTGACATGACCGGAAGTATGTCATGAGGCCCCACCCCCTGAATGCGCTCGCCCGCTTCGGGAGAGGGGATCAAAGTGTAATACAAGCCTCCTCCAAGACTTGATCACACCAATCTCAACCCTCTCCTGGGTCTTGATGCCTGCCAGTCATTCCCCCTGTCTGGGGAAAGCCACGTCGGACCAAAATACAGTCCAAACTGCTGTAAGGAACACCCGTCCACCCTGAGCACTTACAGGGTGCGTCAAATCGCCATTTTACCCCGACCGGAAGCAGGGGGCGGGGCTTCGTCGTGTGCCCCGCCCCTCACCCAGGGGAACTGTGATCCCCCGCGTTCCCCCCCGAAATGACCCCTGCTTTTTACAAAATAACTTTTTATAAAATGACTGATGTGGCGGATCAGGCTGATTTGGTGGGTGGTTTTTGGATCTACCAGTGATTTCTGTGAATCGAAGAGATTTCCATGCGTGCAGCATGACTTCCCCTGCTTTTCCCCTCCTCCTGCAGCCCCAGAGTAATGGAAGCCAGGAAAATGGCAGGGAAGGCGCTTCGGGTTCATCCCCTCCAAGGACCAACATGACGGGTCTCCAGAATAAAGTGCTGAGCACCAGTTCCTCGATCTCCAGTCTCAGTTCATCCACGGTATGTGCACTAGGGGGCTGTGCTTGGGGTAGCTGCTAGTGTGCTAAAACCCTCTTAGCTTTCCTTCCTCTCCCGAAGGAGACGCAGACCACCAGAGATGAAGGCTGTGTGCAAAAGAGCCCAGGTGCCATCTACTAAACCCCATAGCTAGAAGGAGAACTGTTCCAGCACAAGTGCTTGTTTGGAGATAGATAAAATGGGGGAAGAATCTTGGAGAGAGTTTTTGAACCTCGGGGTGCTTCTGCTTAGGATCCTGCACTTCCCCCCCCCCCGCTTGGTTGCATCTGGATCCTGTCCCTACCAGTGCAAAGTAGTCTGGGAAATGAGAGTTCAATCCCTACTCAGTCATTTGGATCTAGTCACACTCTTTCAGCCTGACCAGCTTCACAGGGTTGCTTTGAGCAGAAAACTAACGATGCCACCCTGAACTCCACGGAGGAAGGGTGGGATAAAAAAGGCCACTGATTCTGACACTCGCTCTTGTTTGGTTGCAGATGAGCGGCAGCCTCATGAGCATTTTCAGCGATAGTGAAGTTGGGAGTGTGGATGTCCGCGGCTGCATCCAGTTCTCCTTGCAGTACGATGCCAAAAAGAAGGAATTGCAAGTTCAAATCATCCAGTGCCGAGACCTTGCGGAAGCCAGGAAACAGCGGACAGACCCGTGAGTTTGGGATTGGGGACTGCTTGTCATTTTCACTTTTTGTCCTGTTGTTGTGATCAAGCCAAGTGTCATGGGGAGGCTATTTTTAAAGGAGGGAACAGGTGTTCTGCCAAGGACTCCTGCCAACCACAAATACCTCTATTTTGTGCAGATCTATGTGTGCAGATGTATGTAAAATGCAACAATGCCTTCCCCAGTCTTTCCATACCTGCTTGCAACACTTCTAATATTGAACTTCTGTATGATTTCTTTGGGTCTTAACTGCCACATAACATGTGAAGCTGCCTTATGCTTAGTTGTTGGAATATACAAGTGTCAACCCTTCTGTCATGAAGGAGTTAAACTGTATATGTATGCCAATGTTACTTAGTTAGTTTAGGACCAATTTGGTGTTAGGCACATTTTCCCCGCCAGAGAGAGGGTTGTACTATTCTTAATGAGGAATGAGGTGACCTTAAGACCAGCCATTGGGTGATCAAGATTTTGGAAGATACTACATGCTGTTTGGCATGTACATTTGGGGGGGGGGGGACACGGGACCTTTGGAGGGACTTCCCTTTTCCTTTGTTCTACTCTCAGACCGGAGAAGAAGAGAAACCCAAGCTGGAGTTTAGAACTAGTTAGGGTGCTGTTATTTTATCTCATGTAACCCTTTCTTAAAACTAAATACGCAGGTGTGCTGTGTTGCTTTATTCCGTTGTGCATATTAGCCCTGCTAAATATCCAACATTAGCATATCAAGATCTACTCTGGTTTTTCATATGAGCTCCTGCCTGATCCTTTTAACTGGAGCCGCTGTTGGTTGAACCTGGGACCTCTGCCTGCAGAACAGGTGCTCTGCCACTGAGCCACAGTCCCACCCAATCTATCCTTCCCTTGCTCCTCTCTGTTATTGTTTTTTTTCTCTCTCCTTGTTTCAGTCCTCCTCAGTCTTTCTCCTTTGCCCACCAGTCGATGGTTGTGGTATTTCTGGGGTGGTTCACTTCAAAATTGTGGGTCAGAGCTTGCCAGCAATGCCAGTCAACCCTGGAAGTGTCCCTCAGGATGGAGCCCATGTTTCCAGCTTTCACATCCCTCTCATTCCCAGGTATGTCAAAGCCTACCTTCTTCCTGACAAATCCAACCAAGGCAAGAGGAAAACAGCCATCAGGAAGAGGAGCATAGACCCCATCTTCAATGAGACGCTGAAGGTGAGAAACAGCATTAGCAGCCCTTCTAAGAGCTGGTCTGTGTGTTCTGCTTGTTACCTGGCTTCTGTGACTTCCGGGGCTCCCCCAGAGATAGGCAGAGGAAGCTGGAGGGGATCTCAGGCAAACACACTGGCTGCCTTTCTGAGCCTCTGCTAAACCTTTTCCTTCTGCAGTGGGTTTTCCCTGCTTGTCCTTTCTAAAGAGACGGTTTTCCGTTTCAAAGGAGAGAGAATATAAGCAGAGGAAATATCTGAGAAGGGGGAAAGTAGCCAGTCTTTTCATCAATATATCTAATTGTCACTGTGGCCAGATCTGTAGTTACTTAAATCCAGAGTCTGGAACAATGAACAGACAAGACAGATCTTTCAACAAACCTGGAAAAGGTGCAGATTTGCAGAAAAACCTGAAAGCATTAAAAAAACATTTGAGGAATTAACTCCCTAAGCAGAAGCAGTGCCGGTAGCTTTAAGAAGTGAATGCCCTCTCTGGTTCCATTGTGGGGGTTGCTAGGCAACCGCAACAGTATTGCCAGCTTTCAAGTCTTTGTTTCTGTTAGGCAGGGGCCTTTCTAGGACTCATTGGCACCAGGCCCAGCAGCGACCACTGGGAATCTATCTTCCACCTGACTTGCATGATTCATCCAGGCCTAGGTGCTTGCCACTGTTCAACAACAGCCGCCTCATAAAAGCAAGTGTCATATTGTGGTTAAAAGTTTCAGACTACTTTCTGGGATACTTGGGTTCAAATGCCCGGTTTACCATGGAAGCTCACTAGGTAACCTTAGGCCAGTCACACATACTCAGCCTAACTTACCTCAGAGGGCTGTTTTGAGGATAAAAAGGAAGAGAGAAGACTGATGCCACCTGCTTTGGGTTTCCATTGTGGAGAAAGGCAGGGTATAAATGAATGGAACAAATAATAGATATAGCTAAAGATGGGGCTGCAGATAAAGGTAAGTTGGTGGGTGGGAAGGAGAGAAGGTGGCAGGGAAAGGTAGGACGATATGCGGGCTACCAGGAGGAGAAAAAAGGCAAATTGTGTAGGGAGGGGATGTAGGGAACAGTGAAGTGCCCCTTACACATTCTTGCAGTTTCCCCACCATGCAGCTGTGTCTGGTCCTGGTGGCTGGCACTGCACAGTTCAGCCAGCACCGCACAATTTGTCCAGAGTTTTCCTTGATAGAAGCTGTCGGCAGGAGGGAAGGTGGAAAAACTGAAGACAGGGGGACGGATAAAGGTAGGTTGTCTGGTGGGTGGGAAGGAAAGAAGGAAGCAAAAAAAGTGGAGAAACTAGGGAGGCTTCCAAGGAAGGGAAAGAAGAAATAGTGGAGGGAGGGTAAAATGTGATGCCCCTCTCAAGTCCTCGCCAGTCTCCTGCTTGTAGATGTCTAATAGCTGGCTTATACAGAATCAAGCCACTGATCTATTCAGCTCAGTCTTGTCTGTTTGAACTGGCAGTAGCTCTTTGAGTTTTCCCTACCAGCTGCTACCTGAGAGCCTTTGAATGGAGATGCCCAGATTGTACCTGGTACTTTTTGCATGCAAAGCAGGTGCTCTTCCACTGAGCCACAGCCCCTCTCTTGGATTTATTTATTTATTTATTTATTTAATTTCACTTATACCACGCCCTCCCCGCAAGCAGGCTCAGGGCGGCTTACATAGGCACAACTGTGCAATAAAATACAACAAGATTAGAACAGTTAAGGCACCAAGAGCAATAAAAATAGGACAAGTTAAAACAATTGAAACAAAAACTCGCATCTTGCAGGATACATGCGGAACTAAAATATCACTCCCTATTGTATATCGCGGTGGGATCAAAGAGGGGGGATGCCATGGGCCAAGATGTTCCAAGTGGCCAGTCGGCCCAACCCGGCGGTCCTGCTCTGCAGTTACTCGGTGGTGGTGGCAGCGGCTCCTACTCAAAAGCCTTGAACCTATCCTGAACTGATATGTCCATTTCTGATTTCTTTTTCAAAGCCCTCTGTTGGCATTGGGGGGGGGGAAGCAACGAAAGGGGAGGGAAAACCAGCTATGGATGCTGCATACCTGCTGCAAATGCAAATGCCAGCTCCACAGAGAATCATGACCATATGGAAGCAACGTTAATTTCTGAACCATTCATATTGATTTGCATTCTCCTTCAATGTGCACAAAGTTGTGCATGATTTGTGGATTCTCTGCACCACAGAGAATGTTTCTTCCAGGTCATATGCTTAATGCCCCAGTGAAGCCTGGTCTCTCACTCTGTGAACATTAGAGATGGGCACGAACCAGGAAAATGCAGTTCAGTTTGTGGTTTGTGGTGTGCTCGGTTCATGAACCATGAACCATCAAGACCTTTTAGGGGCTAATGCCCCCTGGCATGATAAAGACACCAAAGTCACAGGAGATCTCTGCCTGACTCTCCTCTACCTTTAGTGAGGATTGGATTTACAGAGTCTGAGTTACAGCCCCCCAAAGAAGGTGCCTCCAGGAAAGTTCTTTCTGGGGAAATTGCAGGTGCAGGTTCAGGAGGTCCATGAGTGTATAGAACAGATCCTGTGCAAGCTATAGACACCAAACTCACAGGGGATCTCCAACCGACTCTCCTCTACCTGCCCTCCATGTTAGGTGAGGATTGGATTTACAAGGACAGAGTTATGGCTCCCCAAAGAAGGTGCCCCATGCAAAAAGCAAAAAAAGCAAGGACAATAGAAGCCCAGTAGAACATAATCAAATACTTTGGCCACCAAATGAGAAGGGAGCACTCACTGGAGAAAACCCTGATGCTGGGAAAGATTGAAGGTCAAAGAAGACGGGGACGGCAAAGGATGAGATGGTTAGACAGTGTCATCGATGCAACGAACATGAAATTGAGCCAACTTCGGAGGACTGCAGAAGACAGGAGGGCCTGGCGGGAGATGGTCCATGGGGTCGCGAGGAGTCGGACTAGACTGTGCGACTGAACAACAAAAAGAACATAATCAAAGTTCCAGAGAATCTCTGCAGTAGAAACTGAGAGTGGGGGGCATTCTGCTGCAAAGCCAGCGGAACCAGGTCAAGGCAGAGAGTCTCTGCAATGAAGTACAGAATCACGATCCAAGCAAGGATTCTTTTGCAAGCCCAGCACAACCAGTTCAGTGCACAGAATGCCCAGCAGAACCCAGTGCTACTGTTGCACTGCAATCTTAAAAGGATTGATCTCAAAGCACAGTCACAAGAAATCCAAGCAAGGGGTAGGGGATTTTGCAAGGCTTGTGCAAGAAAATGGGGACGGAACACAAAGAATCCTGAAACTGACAAGACTAGTCCGAAACTGAACCCCTGTTGCTTTGAAGTTTGGTAAACATTTAGAATAAGGGGAGACAGTCTATCTGGAAATGTATCCCCTTCAGCAACTGCAAGGAACCTCCACAAACAGCTTGAAAGTTTGTGGATAGTTTGTGCTGTTTGATCTGCCACAAACTTCACCTTGCAAACCATGAACCATCCAAAATTCATCACAAACTTTAGTTTGTGAGCTAGTTCATGCCCATCCCTAGTGAACATATCCATGCAAATTGGTGAAGGAGCCCCATGTGGCCTGGCTTATACGATTGACACCATCTGCAAAGGAGGGCATGCTTTTGAGCAGGGAACTGGGGGAGGTACACAATGCTATCATCTGCAGTTTTTCCAGAGAAGATAAATTTTCCCCTTGCATCTCATGTCATACTCCACAATTAAAATGTGTCAATGGGCACCCCACAAATTGTGGGTTTTGCTGATCATGTCCTTATTGTGCAATTGCATAGTTGAAATAGTCAGGGCTGGGAGGTATGTTGCAATTCAGCTGGAATGCAAGAAAAGTATGAAATGTGGCTTTGGGGCTTTGAGTCTGTTTTCCTGAGATTCTCAGGGGGGTTTATTTAAAGCAAGGTCCTAGTCCATATGATTGCAAAGCATATGCTTGAAAGCATGTGGGCAACATCTGCTGAAATGTCAGAAGTCAGAATGGAGATGAAATAAAATAGGCTAGGCGAGAGTTTGAAACCCAGCATAATTCCTTGGCTTTCCATGGGACTAGAAAAGCTGCAATACATTCTACAAAATAAAAATACCAAAAACTCCCCCACATGTCATGTTTTATATCTGTTGTATTTTGCTGGACGCTGCCTTGAGTCTAGAGAGCAAGCTGTGATGTACATACTTACATCCACAGAATGGATTTATTCACATGTGCTCAGGGCTATTTTTGGGCAGGAGCGCACAGGAACAGAGTTCCGGCTGGCTCCCGAGGTGGCCACGCCCAGCAGGAACTCATTAGCATAATAGACCACACCCAACAGCAGAAACTCGTTAGAATTGGCTACATTAGGGGTGTGTGGCCTAACATGCAAAGGAGTTCCTGCTACCTAAAAAGCCCTGGGTTTTGACAACAAACAAGGTAAACCGAATAAGAAGCAAAAGGTGGGTGTGGCTGGATGACCACACTTCTGGTAACATGGGGGTGCGGCCTAATATGCTAATAAGATGTGCTGTCAGGGTGTGTCCTAATATTCTAATGAGTTTCTGCTGTTGGGTGTGGCCTATTATGCTAATGAGTTCATGCTGGGCTTTTTCTACAAAAAAAGCCCTGCATGTGCTCAAAACAATTTAGGTGGAACAACTGAGCTGTGTGGCAGAAACTGGCTTTTCTCAGTGCTCTGGAAAATGGTGCAGGGGGCCCTGTCTCAAATAGCGAACCCTTGTGGAGGTTAAAAGGTTGAAGGATTAACTCCCTTCTCCCTCCCCTGCACAGAACCTGAAATTTGTGCTTCATGAAGGCGACAAGAGGCAGGTTTTTGAGCATTGACTGATACTGGGATTTGGAAAATTGCATGTTGGGTGGGGTGGAAGGGAGGGGGACAAAATGTGGTACAAATGAGGTACTGCAGTGGGATCACTGGTCCTTTGGATCCATCTGGCTGTAGGCTTGGGCTGTAACCATGTTTGTTTCTTCCACCGTTCCTTTTCCTCTCCTCTCTGCCCTCCCTATCCTCCTTCCACTCCCTCTCCCGGGCTGCAGTACAAGATTGACAAGGCTGAGCTCCAGGGCCGCGTCCTGAACCTGTCCGTCTGGCATCACGACTCCTTAAACCGAAACCTCTTCATGGGAGAAGTGGAGATAGAGCTGAAGGCCTGGGAGTGGAGCAACACAGGGCCCCAGTGGTTCAACCTACAGCCCAGGGTAAATCTCTCTGGCTTAAAACCAGTGGGCTGGGTCCAGACTAAATTTTCTACTAATTGAAGGGGAAGTATAATTTCTGCCAGCTGCCCCTTCTGGTTGTGGACCCCTGATTTCCCCCTCATGACACCCTGAATGGCCCCGTCCCCTGGGGCAGCATTTGGAGAAGATTAGTGGGCGGCAGGAAAGTTCTGTTCCCAGAGGTCATTTCGAAGGGGATCACGGGGGATCGCAGTTCCCCCGGGTGAGGTATGGGGGCGGGGCACATGATGAAGCCCCGCCCCCTGCTTCCGGCCACCCCGCTTCCGGCCCTCATTCACCCAGGAGGAGGCAGGAGAAGAGGGAGGGTAAGTTGCTTCCTCCCTGCCTCTCCCCACCCCTGCCTGCCTGGGGCGAGGGAGGGCCTTTGTGGGGCTTCCTTGCACTCCCGCCGGCCTTGCAGGTCCACCGCCGGGCCCCTCATGGGGCTCGGCAGTGGAGCTGCAAAGCCGGCGGCGGCGGCCGGGACCGTTGGGGGCGAGGTGTGTGGCCTTATGACACACTTCCGGTGATGTCAGGGGGTGTGGCATATGCTAATGAGTTCCCCTAGCTCTTTTTCTACAAAACGACCCCTGTCTGTTCCATTGACGGACATGCCTTCTGCTAGTGGAAAACGTAGTCTGGATTGAAACAATAGGGGTTTATTTTACATTTTGGCTCCTGAATTTTTATTTTTGGGCTATTCAGCTGATGCCATGCTCTAATCCATCCCCCTTTTCAGTTCTCTCTTTCTCAGAGCTGCTTCTGAGAGGAGGTGAAACAAGCAAAGAGGAACTTTGCTCTTCCTCTGTCCCGTAAAGATTGCTGTGTTGTGAATTGTACCCAAAGAGCATTTCCCCCCTCTGACTCAGGGGCGTAGACTTTTCAATTTGGGGGGGGGGGGGGGCTGGGCCTGGGCCAGAGGCATTGCTATCCTAGTTCCTTAAAAGAACCAGGGCCCAGTGACATCATAGGGAGGAGCCAGTGACACCACAGGCCATCGTCACTGTCAATGGAGGCGGAGCCATGTGGGATTTAGGAAGGGGCTCCCCCAAAATTTAGGAACCCTGGGAACCCCCCTAGCAATGCCCCTGGGCTGGGCTAAACCCAGGAAAAGGTGGGAGTTGGCCAGTGGTTATAGTGGTATCTCCTGCTGTGTCCTTTTCTAAAATTCACTTTTAGAAGACTCACTTTAATACCTGCAAATTTACATGCCATGTGCATAGGACAAACAAATGGTCACAAATCTGACAGTAAGGAAAGCAATACAGAAAAGCCTATAGGGGAACATTTTAAAAGTTTTCCTGGACGTTCATTTACAGGAGTCTTGTTCTGCCTTATTCATAAAGGTGACTTTGTACTGAAATTTACTAAATTGTGGCATCACAGATGCCTTTGTTTGGTAAATACATGGTTGAAGTCTCTGAGCCAGGGCAGAATACCAAATAACTGCTGTGCACTCAATTTCTGAGCAATGTACAGAGTTCATACCAGCAGCAATCTTCTTCTCACTTCAAACTCATATCCTACAAGTGAGTACAAGTACATTTTGAGGTAATTCAGAACAGTGCCCATAGCCATGACCTCAAAGAGAACTCAGTTATGCCACCTAGGATTTTATATACCTTGCCTTCTCAGCACATTTCTTAGAAACTCCACCTTAAAAACACTGACATTCAGAACAAATTATTAATGACAAATGACATAATTAAGTTAATGGGAAATGACTGCATTCCTGTGCATGGTTAATTTCTGCTCTTCAGGTTCAACTTGCAAAACACATTTGGCTTCAACAAATGATCTTCAGACTGCTGAAGTACAACTTTAACTGCACCAGAAGGGACTTTCCTCTTTCTAATTACAAATCTATCCATGACAAATTGAATGGAATGGTGGACTGAAAATAATTCAAAGAAAAATATCAGGATTCTGAAGGAGGAGAGATTACATATAAAAAATAAGAGGGGTAGCCACGTTAATCATGTAATCCCTGCAGCTTCTAAATTTGCAGAGTGGAATGACAGTCCCTGGGAATAGGCTCAGTGCTTTGGGACTAGAATGACAGCCCCCAGAGTGGAATGATGGTCCCTAGGAAGAGAATCAGTACTCTTGGACTGGAATGACAGGTCGCAGAGTGGCATAAAAGCCTCTGGGAGTAGCAGAAGTGTTCCAGGACTGGAATGACAACCCCCAGAGTGGAATGACAGTCCCTGGGATTAGCATAAATTTTCTGGGACGGGAATGACAGCCCCTGGGAGTTGCAGTAGTATTCTGGGACTATCATTCCACTCTGAGGGTTGTCATTCCAGTCCCAGAACACCTCTGCTACTCCCAAGAGCTGTCATTCCCCTCTGGGGTCTGTCATTCCAGTCCCAGAGCACTGAGCCTATTCCCAGGGGCTGTCATTCCACTCTGTGACCTGACATTTCAGTCCCAGATCACAGGTTTTATTGCTAGGGATCATCATTCCACTCTGGGGGCTGTCATTCCAGAGTAGCCTACCTGGGCCCAAAGACTTTAATGGAAAACCATTCTGCATTTTCTTTGCAACTTTTTTGTGTGCTGTAATGTATTTCAGTGGAGCCCATGCAAATCAATTTGCATACCTGGTGCCCATTATCTCCAATGGGCCTTCAAGCCTCTCCCATTGTTTCCAATGGGCAATCCTGTCATTCTTTTTAGTACATCCCAGTTGGCTGCCCCTTTGGAACTGTGCCACACCATTTTAAGTAACAGCAAAATGAAGAGCATGAGCATGTGCAAAGTGCATATTCCTTGCCAATGCTCTCTCTGGACTGCACACAGGGCAAAAGGAAATTTTAAAAGGCCTCTGATCTGCATGCCCCCCCCCAATCTTGTTCATGCAGATGGGTTTGCCATTTAAAAATGAAATTGAAATTGAAAGAAGAACTTAGGAGCAGCTGAAGCAGCCACCCCCCCCCCACCATGAAAAAGACAACTGTTCTCAATCAAGAATATATAGACCCAAGTAAAATAAAATAGACACACTTTCCCCCCACATGTAAATTGGAGCCCAGTAAGTATGTTGGTCCCAACAGAGGCTTCACAGTCTGACTGATGGGTGGAGCCAGCCAGGATTAAGGACTATACTTTCTTTCCCAACAGACACCAAACATATTCAAGGATTTATATGTTCTGGATATCAAAAACCTTAGTTATTAACCTGGAGAGTGCAAAGATACAACCGAAAACCTGATGGATCCAGCTGCAAGAGACCTTCTCTTCCTGCTGCAACGAATGTTATCAAATCTCTTTCTCTATCAAATCTCTTACCCTGCCCAGCTTTGTCTCCAGAGATCTGTCTTCCTAAAGACTCTCTAGCATTTGGTACCTCTGCATATATGCTTGGAGAAAGGATGGGGGACTTGGAGAAGGGATGGGGGAGGAGGATGTTTAACCATCCCATTGTCTACCCTGCTAGCTCAATTAGCATTTGTAAGAAGGTGAGCCTGGAAGGCTCACACAGACTTCCTTCTTTCTAGCACAGAGGGAAAAACCCACACAGAGTTTTAAGCTCAATACTGCCTGGCACTGATTGCCTAGGGGAGGCTCAGTCTCCCCTGGAAAAATTCGGGGTAGGCCTGAACCCCCGAACCCCCCCCCCCCAGTAGCTTACACCTATACTGTGAATAATTTTTGTGAGAGCCGCGGTTCAACACCGCCAAACCTTGCAGACTCAGAAGCAGCTGTCCTTTTCTTCACTAGCCCAGAGGACTTACTGTGGCTGCTGATGAAATCAAGCTGGGGGCTATATTGTGCAAAGCCCCCCCCCCCCAGTTCCCTTTCACCCGTGGTGTTTACTCCTGAGCATTTCACAATCTGCTTCACCCAGAAGAATGGCAGGGAGAGATCTGGGCCTGGCAATCCCACTGTTGTGTGCCTGAAGTCAGAATGCAAGCCACCCAGAGCTCTCGTTTCATTTTTTTTTTAAACTATGAATCTGCAAAAGTGCATTCTACTAAATACCTCTCAGGGTTTGGCTTTAATAGGGATCAGCAACTGGAATCCTCCAGCCCAAATCTGGTTACCACTTGGCTTTGCGGTTGCCTACCCAGCAGAAGGCTATAAATGGAGCAAATGTGTGGGAACAGGGCTTGCAGGCAGGCCACTGCTTTGGTTTCCATGACTTTGTCTTCCAGGTCCCCCCTCCTAGAAGTCTAGTTGCATTTCTTGTTTCATTTCTGTTTTGAAAATGTGTGTTTAATGGTTTGTACAACTTTATTACTTTGTGTTTATAAAGCACTCTAAATGCCAGCTGGTGGGGGGGTTATATATAAATATTACTCCTATCAAGTGCCAAAAATCAACAGTGCAGGCACCGCCTGGCTGGTGTTCTCACTCACTAATGCTCACCCTCCCTTGACAATGTATTCCTGATGCTTATCCAGCTGCATTCTCCCTTTTGAGACCTATCTCTCTCTCTCTCTCTCTCTCTCTCAGACGCCAGTCTCTCCTGATGCTCTGCCCAGCCGAGGCAAACTCAATCTAGCCCTGAAGTTCATTTCAGCTGGCTTGGAAGGTAAGAGCTGCTGCAGCAATTTCCTTTGACCTTTCCCAATTATTAGGGTTCTACCTTGGATGGCATTTTGAGTCACAGTTCCAAACCCCCACAAGGCATTGCTAATCTGCTCAGGAAGCAAAACCCCAAACCCCCCCCCCCCCACAAATACAGCAAGCAGCCAGTCCCCAAACTGGCAAAATTGGTCTTCCAAAGTGTGTTTGTTTCAGGGTGGGAAATCACCTTTGTTTCAGGGTGACGGACCCTAAGAGCCAGTATGGTATTATGGCTAGTGTCAAACGAGGATCTGGGGGACGGGCTTGAATCCATACTCTGCCCTGGATGCTCACTGGCTGACCTTGGCTGGTCACTCTCTCTCAGCCTAGCCTACCTCACAGGGTTGTTATGAAGGTAAACATGGAGGAGAAGAAAATGATGCTGCAAGCCACTTTGGGTTCCTGTTAGGGCAAAACGTGGGTTTGAAATGTATTAATAATTAGAATACACTCTGTGGGAGTAGGAAGGACAAAACAGCAACAAACTAAATATAACCTAATGCATCAGATCCAGACAGCTTTTTTGCTGATGAAAGTGGGAGGAAGGAGTCCCCTTTGACTTCTAAAAAGAAGACCATGCTGGGTATCATAGGATCTGCATGGGCAAAAGCCATGCGGAAGGGGGGCTGTAGTAATGGTGGGAATAAGGTGAAACTGGGGGGGAAATCGTTGGCTCCGACCCAATGTACTTTATATTATTAAAAATGGACAGAATTTTAATTTGCAATGCAACTGAAAAAAGCCAAGTATTTTCAGTCATTCCAGTGTCTTTACACACACTGTCAGAATGCTGGATGCAGGGACAGTTTTACTTTATACAGAACATTTGAGGAGAGTTAAGTAAACGGGTTTAAGAGAACTTTTTTTTTAAAAAAAAACAACCACCCTGAATATTCAGGAAAGGAACCTATAGTGCCAACTTATGCTGAATGCCTCCAGTCTAACCCTATTGAATTAAATGGGCTTAGACCAGAGTAACTCTGTATAGGATTGCAGTGCTAAGATATCACAGAAAGCAATGGTTCCCCAACTTTCATGCTGTTTTTATTTTGAGTTGCGAAAGGGGAAAAGGTAATTTGGATCAGTGTGTGGAAAGTGGGAGAGTCCAAGTTCAGGCCATGTTGGGTCGGGGTCAGTGTTCCCTCTAAGCTGAGTTAGTGTGAGTTAGCTCAATTTTTTTAGCCTCCGGCTCACACATTTTTGTCTCCGCTCAGGAAGGAGGGCTCCAGAGCAAACTAATTTATGCAGCAGCCAAATCGCTCACTCGCAACTTTAAGGCCAGGAGCTCGCAAAGTAGATTTTTTGCTCAGAGGAATGCACAGCTTAGAGGGAGCATTGGTCAGGGTAGAAGGCGAGGCCTCCCCAGAAACGTTCATTGCCATGGCTTTCTTTCAGGGGGAGGGCTTCCCCCCACTGGAGAGCTGCACATCTGGGTGAAGAATGCGCAGAACCTGGTTCCCTTCAGAGGCAGTACTGCGGACTCCTTTGTCCAGTGGTGAGTACTGCTCAGCACTGGGTTCTCCTCTGGGCGGTGAGGGGGCCAGAAGTGACAGCATCGGCTATATCATTTCCCCTCCGGTTTTTCTACTGCTGCTTACTGGATGGAACACAGGACATGGAGGGCAAGGGCAGGGGCCTGTCTGCCACAGGTGGGTGCCTAGTGACCCCAATCCCTCCCCAACTGAATCCCTTTCTTCTTTTTCCAGCTACATTCTCCCTGATGACAGCAAGGCAAGCCGGCAGAAGACCCGCACCGTGAAGAAGAGTCTCAGCCCGATTTTCAACCACACCATGGTCTACGATGGGTTCCAAGCCAAGGACTTGGCTGAGGCGTGTGCTGAGTTCACCATCTGGGACCAAGACACCTTCTCCAAGCAGAGCCTTGGAGGCATCCGGCTGAGTCTTGGCACAGGCAAGGCCTTGATGGAGTCTTGGGGACGGTTCAGAATAGCTACGGGTGATTAGGCCACTCCTTCCATGAGTCTTTCTTAAAAAGGTAAAGGTTCCCTTGTTCGAAAGCCAGTCGAGTCCGACTCTAGGGTTGCGGTACTCATCTCCGTTTCAAAGCCGAAGAGCCAGCGCTGTCCGAAGACGTTTCCGCGGTCATGTGGCCGGCATGACTAAACCCCAAGGCACACGGAACGCTGTTACCTTCCCACCGAAGTGGTACCTATTTATCTACTTGCAATTTCTTGCTTTCGAACTGCTAGGTTGGCAGGAGCTGGAACTAGAGACGGGAGCTCACTCCGTCATGCGGCGCACTCGGGTCTCGAACTGCTGAACTAATGACCTTCCACAGCCTGCAACCGCTTTTAAATCCATCTGTGCTTGTGGCCATCACTATATCTGCAAATGAATCACTCATTCAGTAAAGAAGGACTTCCTTTTGCCCATCCTTAATCTACCAAATTCACCGGGTGCCCAGGATTATGGGAGTTCTCCCTATCCATTTTTTCCCACCCCCACCATAATGTTATGAACCTCTCTCACACAGCCCTTGGTCGTCTGTCTTCTAAACTGCAAAGCCCTAGAGCAGTGATGGCGAACCTTTTAGAGACCGAGTGCCCAAACTGCGACCCAAAACCCACTTATTTATTGCAAAGTACCAACACGGCAATTTAACCTGAATACTGAGGTTTTACTTTAGAAAAAACAACTCATACATTGACTTAAGATGATCCAAACAAAGTAAGGAAAGCAATCCCAAATGCTTTCATTTACTTAAAATTATTTGGCAGAGAATTCCACACTTTAATGATGGTCTGGGCCTGGCTGGGGCGATGGCACGCGTGCCCACAGAGAGGGCTCTGAGTGCCACCTCTGGCACCCGTGCCATAGGTTCGCCACCACTGCCCTAGAGTCTTGAGTGTTTCCTCATAGGAAGGCACTCTGACCCTTTCATCACCCTGGCTGCAGCTTCTCAGCTCTGCAGTATCTTTTTTGGAGCTATGCTAATGAAAACGGCATCCGGTATTGCAAATAAAGCTGCACGATAAGATCTATGCAAAGCCCCAGTGCTGATAATTGACTTGAAGGAGATGCCTTGAAGGAGTTTTTACTCGGCTGCTTCTCCCAGCTGCTGTCCCAGGGATCTCTGTGCCTTTGTTAGGGCTTCTGAACACTTGCTCATTTCCACCTGGGAAGGGCAGCCAGGAGAAGCCTGTATGTGCATAGGGAGTTTGAAGGAGGCTGAGAGAGAGAGCATGAAGGAGCTGCCAATCATGGTTAGGTAAGGATGAAGGGGGCCCTCTTTTAAAACAAATATCAAGCAGGGAATGGGTCAAGAGAGAACCTTTTCGATCAGTGAAGAACATGCCCATGGGAAAGTGGAGCATTCAGCATATGGCCACTTGCACGCCTCACTCTGCTTCCCCTTATATGCCAGATCGGGCTCATGAAAAGGAGCGACATGTGTGCTGGATTCTGCCTCCTGAATTCAGAAGGCTTCTCAGGAGCCAGGCCCCAGAGGCCGGAGAGGATGGTAGAGCTGCTGGCTCTGCTTGCCATTCATCATTTTATCACTGCTCATCTTTTCTTGCCTAAGCGGCATGTCGTTCCTGCTACTCCTCCCTCTCTCATCCCCTGAGAACAATTATGTGATAAGACAAACAGATTCAGTGACAGATGGAGACAGGCAGCCGCTGACTCCTGATCCGCTGGGTGTGCATGGATCCCATCCAGGCTCTTCTGCCCTGCTTTGGGGAGAGCCTTCGAGAGCCTCAGCGCTCAAGAGGCTTCGGCACGGCCAAGCACCAAGCTGCTGGAAAGGACTATCTCTCTTCTGCATGCAGGTGGGCAATCCCATTTCTGAGTGCTCCCCTAGGTTATAAACTCCTTGCAGTCAGAAAACTAACACAGCATGCAAAAACAGGTAGACTAGAACCCCATTTCGCCCTGTGTTGCTAATTTTCCTCTTCCAGAGAATTGTTGCTGTCGAGGAGCATTCGAGTCCTGCAGTCAGGAGTGGCACAGCTGGTTCTATTTGTATTTGTTTAGACAGTTAAAAACCACTTTCTCCCCTAATGGGAATCCACAGTGGCTTACACTATCATCCTCCCCTCCTCTATTTTATCCTCACAACAACCCTGTAAGGTAGGTTAGGCTGAAAGAAAGCCCAGTGTGAGCTCCCGTGGCCCAAGTGGGGATCCAAACCAAGGGCTCACAGATCCTAGTCCAACATTCTAACCGCTCCACCACACTGGGCCTTGTACTTCGTTTCCCCCAGGGTCAGGTCAAACCAAAGCTGTCTTGAATCATAAGGAAAGGTGGAGTACAAACGGTTTAATAAATGATTTGGCCTGTGGCGGCTCTTCTCCTGGCATGTGTAAGTGGCAGCCCAGCTCTGTTGAGAGTAAAAGTACGCCTTGCATCAGTTAGCCCCTGCCAGTCCTCGAGGGGTACGGCCTCTCAGTCTCCAACTTCTGAGATTAATAGCCCTGCTGCATCAGACCAGTGATCCATCTAGCCCAGCACCCTGTTTCAGAAGGTGGCCAGCCAGTTGCCCTGAAGGTTCAGGAAACGGAACGTAGAGGCCGAGGCCCTCCCCTGCTGCTGCTGCCTCCTAGCACTGGTATTCAGAGGCTGACTGCTTCCGAATATGGCAGTTCCCATTACTCAACCTTGCTAGTAGCTGTTGGTGGAACTTTCCTCCGTGAATCTGTTTGATTGATCCAGTGACACCTGACAGAGCCAGTTTGGTGTAGTGGTTAAGTGCGCGGACTCTAATCTGGGAGAACCGGTGTAACAGGCTGGATTCACCCCCCGGAGGGGTTACTCTGGCCTAGCCCGGAGTAACCCCGGGGTTACTCTGGCCGACCCAGATTAACCCCCCAGGCCTGCTTTCTGGGGCTGCTGTCCTGTCTCCCTTTTAAATTACTTCTTATCCCCAGCACCAGCTCACCCAGCTTTCTGGTATGCCTTAGGCCGGCCACTGAGCCCCGCCCCTGTATAAGGCCATGTGGCTAGAGTTCATAGCTCTCTCTCCAAGACAGAGTCTCTTCTTCCCTGGCAGGGGTTAGTCTGGATTAACCCCCGGGGTTACTCTGGCCTGGCCCAGCAGGGGTTACTCTGGCCGGGGGGTGAATCCGGCCTGTTACACCGGGTTTGATTCCCCACTTATACCTGGCTGGATGACCTTGGGCATGCCGTAGTTCTGATAAGAGCTGTTCTTGAAAAAAGAGCAGTTTCTGTCAAGAGCTCCCTCAGCTCCACCCACCTCACAGGGTGTCTGTTGTGGGGAGGGGAAGGGAAAGGAGTTTGTAAGCCGCACTGAGACTCCCTTGGGTAGCGAAGGGCGGGGTGTAAATCCAATCTCTTCTTCTTCTTCTTCTCAATGCAGGCAAGAGCTATGGCCTGCCAGTGCCTTGGATGGATTCGACTGAGGAGGAGCGCCATGTATGGGAGACGGTGTTCCAGAAGCCTGGCCAGTGGGTAGAAGCCGGCCTTCCTCTACGGACCAATCTGAGCCTTCGGGCTTAATCCTCCCTCCGTTCGTTCTGCAGGGGGAACACCCGAGAGATGAACTGAGGCACCCCCAAGATCTCTAGCACCTCATGGCAGCAGACAGCCCTCCCAGGGTACCCAGTGCTGCTCCCTATGTCTAAAGGCCCACCGCTCTTTTTTTTTTGGCTCTTGTGGGCCTGAGGCTGGGATAACTTTAAAAAAACATGTGCCCCCCCCCCCCAGATCCCTTCCTATGTTAACCACAGGGTGTTCCGGCTGCCCTCAGTTTCTTTTCCCTCCCTGCTTTGTCAATACAAACAAATGCTGCTTCCTCATTTTTATTGACTCCCTTACTTCTGCGTATTACCATCCATGGTGGTGGCACACTGAGAAACCGAACCCTCCGCTCGCTTCTTCGGCCATCCTGGTTTCCTTTCTGCTATTCAGGTTAGGCCCCCAAATGATGGACGTTGTCCATGTCATCTCTTCCTCATGTCCACAGTTGTGTTTTCTGGCTATGGCCTTTGCTGCTGAACGAGGCTCATAAGCCAAGGCTTGTAGCAAGCAGGGAGTGTTTGCGGCTATGCCTGGTGCTGCCCTGGGCGTAACACTGCCGTGTAGCTCAGAATCCCTCTGTCTTCCCTTGAAAATTCTGGCCTCGGGGAGAAGCAGCCCCCCACCCCATTTCTTAGTCCAAGGAACGGCTGCAGAATTTGGCCGAGATATTTTGATGGGAACAGACTCAACGTGCGGTTTTCTTTAGGCCTTGTTTCCAGGAGGGGGCCTGGAGCGGACTTCTTCACCTTCCCCGGCCAAAGGGTAGATGAGATCTGAGCAGCCAGCTTTCCCTGAGGCAAGGTGGGGGCTGAAGCACCTGCCTCTGAGCTTCCTTATGGCTTTGCAAGAATACAGTTGACAAGTGGTGGGATCTGTACAGCTCAAGGGACTCTGTCAGCCCTGCCCTCTCACTCTGCTCCGGGCTGCTGGCCAAGGCTGTGCCGATGTTCCGTGATGGCCTTCCAGATACAGCACACCATCCCGCCTCTGCCGGAAGAAGAGGAAAATCAGGCAGATTAAACCTCTTGCTGGTTACGTTGATGTGATTTACAATGCCTTGGACAGGAACACTTAAGGGAGTGAAAAGCATAGCCGCTCACGCAGGCTGTCTTCCATCACTTGGCCATTGAGAACCAGGTGAGTGGCCCTGGAAATGACTGAGCTGCCCCAAAGAACTGCCGTCACCAATAAAGTGTCTTAATCTAGCAAGTGTTACCTTTTGAACGGCTTCCATGATGTTCGGTTTTTCCCCACTTCAAGAGGCAGTGGCTGGCTTCCATAGGAATGGGGATAATTGGGTCACAGGCTACGGTGCCTGCCTGCTGAAGGAACTGCACCTCTGCTTCACAACCAGAATAAACTGTAGGTTGCTTATCATGCTTCGTGAGGTCTGGATGCATGTCACAAGGGGACGGGCTTTACAAAGGCTTCAGGGTGAGGTCCCAAAACCCTTTGAAGGTGTGGGCACTTTGGGAATTTTGAGAATAGTTCATAGGTGCCACAACAAAATGGCTGCCATGGGTTGGTGGGTGGGGCCAATGGAAGGGGCTACCATTGGGGCTGGGTGTCAAATGGTGGGACCACTCACAAGCCCAGGTCTGATGATGGAGGCAGCTGTCTTCAGATAGGTGCTCCCTGAAGACCCAAACATGATGCCTCCTGCCCAATGAGATTGAAGGAAGCCAGGGTTGACTGGCTCTTTGTCTTGCTGGGAGAAGCAAGTGGGTGCCAGGAAAAAAACATTTAAGGCACCTTGGCACCCACAGGGATATAAGGGATCACTACTTGAGGAACTCCCAATGGGGATTTTTTTTTTTTAATTGCCTTGCAGGATTAGGCAAAGGTCTTTCAAAGCCTGCCGTCTGTTTCTGGCAGCAGCCTTCTAGTACTAGACATTCTAGCATTGGGTATTCTCAGAGAGAATAACTTTTTAATGTGTTCCCCACAGCCACGCAGTGGCTGCAGGGAACACATGAAACTGTGTAAAAGAATATAGCATGTAGGTTGGCTCAGAAATGCTGCCTTTGTGCACAAAGATTTCATTTCACTTTAGGACTGAGCAAAATTACCCACAAGGCTATATTAGTCCCTCCAAAGTATAATTCTAAACACAGTTACACTCTTCAAAGTCCACTGAATTCAATGAGCTTAGAAGGGTGTAACTCTGTTTAGGATGGCAGTGTTAGCTGCAAAAGAAGGGAGGGGAGGGGGAGGCAAGAATACAGACTGGAACTGTGGTGCTCATTAATTTTATACTGTTCTGTTAGTTGAAAACCCTCCCCCGAGGCTGCTTTAAACCTGGTCGGGTTATTTCCCTTTCTTTAAAAGACCGGTTTAATCTGGGTATAAGTTCCCTCCCCTTTACCACTGGTTTAAAAGGGAGAGAAGCTTTTTGATCAGAGAAAAGAGCCTGTAGGGGAGCAGAGACCTCTTTCCCCATGGCTGTAGCCAGGATCTATATTGGGCTATTCTGCACCTGCTGTTTGCAACTACATCACATGTTCTAAGAGCAGCCTTCTGAATCAGATCAGTGGTTTATCTAGGACAGATCCAGTTTCATGCAGTTGCTGGACCAATGCTGCAGGACTAGCAGGAAACACCCCTTGCCTTTAGACTGCTGCTCAGCATCTGACTAGCAGAGGAGTTCTGCTGCTGCACCCATCTCCTCCATTAATCTGTACGACCCCTTTTAAAACTCATCTTAAACAGCAGCTGTCACCATATCTGGTGGCTGTGAGTTCCACAAATCAAATACCTGTTGTGTGAAGTAGGAATTTTTGTGTGTGTGTCTTGAATTCACTGTCAATGAGCCAGTTTGGTGTAGTGGTTAAGTGCGCAGACCCTAATCTGGGAGAACCGAGTTTGATTCCCCACTCCTCCACTTGCACCTGCTGATGTGACCTTGGGTCAGTCGCAAGCTCTGGCACAGCTGTCCTTGAAAAAGAGCAGTTTGTGTCAGAGCTCTCTCAGCCCCACCCACCTCACAGGGTGTCTGTTGTGGGGACGGGAAAGGAAAAGGTGTTTGTAAGCCGCTCTGAGACTCCAAGTGAAGGGCGGGCTATAAATCCAATCTCTTCTTTTTCCATCAGTTCTGTGGAATAACCCCATGTTCTAGTATTATGGGGAGGGAAAAAAGGTTTTTATCCATTTCCTGTACACCAGAGAAGCCTCTGGTGAACAACCTGTCCCTTAATGTACATAATCTTTGGCTCGCTCTCCCAGGAGGGAGAGCAAGCTTGCAGTCCTACCTGATGCGGGTATAGCGGAGGTCATCTTGGGCAGCACAGTTCAGCAAGATGGAGAGGGTGAAACCGTGATCTGTGAGCTGGGAAGGAGGGAAAGAAGTGTTAGTGACAGCTGCCCAGACCTGTGGGTGTGGGGGATATGCACAGCACACTCAAGACAGAAAACCTGGTGGAGGCTGAACCAGGGCAGCCAAGCCCCCTGCCACGTCCTTTGGAAGCAGCTGCATTTTGAAGAAGGTGCTGCCTGATCAAGGCCTCACCTGATACACAGAAAGACTGGGCTCAGGTGCTTTCACCTACCAGTACTCCTCCCCACATAAGGAGGAATTTCACATTACCCTTTTTAACCCGTTTTGAAGCAGTTTTTGATCCGTCGTGGAGTAAACCGGTATAGGGCTGCCATTTCACACATGGCTTTCCCCCTTCCGGTAAAGAGCTGGATCTGAAGCGGTTTTCCATTTCCTACTGCACCGCTTTTCCCCCACCGTTTTTTGCCCGTGTGGGCGATTGCCGGCTTTTTTTTTTTTTGAACACTCGCTTTAGAGCGCTATAGCGCTATAGCACTATAACAAAACACTCTAGGCATTTCAATCGGGTTGATATAATGCTGTTGCGTTATAGCGCTATAACCCTATAAAGCGAAACCCCCCCCCCCCAAAGCCGGAGGTCGCCTGCGCGGGCGAAAAACGGCGGGAAAAAGAGCATCGGAACCGGGAGAGGAAACTGAAGACTACTTGGAAGCGGTTGACAGGTAAAACGCTTCAGCCCCGTTTCCTAAATGGGACAGAAGCGTTTGTGTCTGAAATAACAAATATATTCCGGTAGGAAACCGGTTCTAAAACGGTTCTGTCTGAAATGACAGACCAGAAACCGTTTGGGAACCGTTCCTCTTCCGTATTATATCATCTGTCCGAAATTCCTCAAGCTCTATTCACAAGTTACAGTGAGTACATGTACAATCCATGTACAGTTAACACTTACCCATAACCGTTGTTCATCGAGTGGTCACACCACAACAATGGACATTTGATTTTTCTTTACACGTGTATTACATTCACCACCTGTGCAGCTGATCGTGAGAATTAAGGTCTACATTCAACCAAGTACTGGTCCCTGGTTTCATTTGTAAAGTGTATGTCTGTGGCCTTGTTCTTACAAACTGCAGGGGAGGCCTGAAGTTCTCCTGGAATTAGAACTGTGATCTCCAGCCGACAGAGATCAATTCCCCCGGAGGAAATGACGGCTTCAGAGGGCCGTCACATCCCTGTAGAGCTCCCTCCCTTCCCCAAAACTCTAGGAGGTTCCCTTGCTGGAGCTGGCAACCCTACTGCATTAACACCTGTACAGGGCTCCTGCCACTGGAGAGGAGCCGTGGCTTAGTGGCCAAGCATCTGCTTTGTGTGCAGAAGGTCCCAGGTTCAATCCCTGGCATTTCCAGTTAGAAGGATCAGGTTGTAGGTGTTGAGAAAGCTGTCTACCTGAGACCCTGGAGGGTCGCTGCTGGTAAGAGTACACAATGAGAGATTCCAAATAAAGTGCATTCGCACACTTTCAGGCCTGGCTCCACAACAGCAACAAAGATCGAGAAAGGGGAAGTGGTTTGCCTCGGAGGTGGCCGTTCTGCCTTCTTCACCCAGAGGCCACCCTCCTAAAAGACCAGCAGCAGAGCCAGCCGGCACAGAGGGACCTTTGCATTCCCGTCTAATGCGGAACAGGGCCAGGGCCAGACTTCCTGCAACTAGGAGGTGGTGACTGCATGGGGTGGGGGTGGGAGGATAATAAAGGTGACTGACCGTTGTGATGGTGTCTTTGTCTACTCCATGCTGTTCCAACCACTCAACAAGCAGGGGGTCTACAGGCTCTTCTTCTCTCTTCCAGAGATGAGGCAGGTGAGAGCTAGAGGTTCCTGGGAGGAGTGGAGAGAAAAAAATTCAAGAAGAGGTCTTTTGGACCAGGCAATCCTGTTTCCCCCACCGATGACAGCTGAATGTTTCTGGGAAGCTCAGAAGCAAACCACTAAGACAATAGCCTACTACCGCAGCCCAATCACTGATACTGAGGTACACTTCCTCTGAACCCGGAGGCTTCATTTAGCTATCATGGTTTCTGCCAGGGGTCATTTCATAGAAAAAGAGGTGCAGGAGCTTATTTGCATATGTCATGCCTCCTGTCAAAGGGCAGGCATGTAAGCATGCCTGGGTTCCCTGCCTGATCTTCTCCAGGTGGGCAGGGAGCCCAGGAATGTTTAGAATGCCTTTTTCTCCCTTCCCCATCTGGGGAACGGAAAGAAGGGCATTTAAATCCCCCCAGGTGGCGGGGGGGCTCTGCAGGCTTTCCCTGGCCCGTCCGTCTTGGCGAGCGGGCCAGGAAAGACGGGGGGGGGGGGCTGCCTCTGGGCTCCTTGCTGCCGGAGTGCCATTCCGGCGCGTTCCAGCAGGAAATGACCCCTGGTTTCTGTTATGCAAAAGGGTCTGATGAGATTGTTGTTGTTGTTGTTCAGTCGCACAGTCGAGTCCGACTCTTTGCGACCCCATGGACCAGATCACGCCAGGCCTTCCTGTCTTCCACCGTCCTCTGAAGTTGGCTCAATTTCATGTTCGTTGCATCTATGACACTGTCTAACCATCTCATCCTTTGCCGTCCCCATCTTCTTTGACCTTCAATCTTTCCCAGCATCAGAGTCTTCTCCAGGGAATGCTCCCTTCTCATTGGGTGGCCAAAGTATTTGAGCTTCAGTTTGATGAGATACTCCCTTCCAAATGCCTTCAGACAACTCCTTACTTTGTGTGGTAGTTTGGTTTCACATAACAGCTAACCTCCCACCCCCCACTTCAGAACAAGTGACCAGGGACTGGCCCTACAAGCGCCAATGATTCAGGACAACGATGGGTGGGGGAGGCAGCCTGTGCGCAAGTGACTGTGGAGCTAAAGTTTACTCCCTCTTCAGGTCTTTATACTGGAACTGTGAGCAAATTATTCTGGAGAATTCAGCATGTTAAGAATCATTTACAAAACAAGACCATTTCCACACGAGAGCAGAGCCCCGCATAGGCATTCCTAAATAACTGAAATACGCAAAACTTTCCACACAACGTTTTGCCTCCCCAGGAGTAGATTTGAAGTCAGTGCCCCCTTCCCCCTGTGTTTTCCGAATTCCCCTTTTCTGTGATTTTTTTCCTTCGGATATTAGCTCGCAATTTTACAATGAGGAATTTCTGTATTCGAATTTCGCTTCCTGCCACGCCCCCATTTTGGGTCATCAGTGACCCGTGTAGACCCCGCCTACTGCCCTCCCACCCGCCCCAAATTCTCCCGGAGAGATCCGCTTTAAAAAAAACACCATAATATTGATTGCATTGCAATGCAATTTTGACCATTACAACACAGCAATGAAATCAGTCTGTCTATATATTGCATAAATATATATATATTTGTTTGGAAGCCCAAATTAACACAAAATACAACACAGCAATGAAATCAGTCTGCAATGAAATATTGCATATTTTTTGTTTGCTTGTTTGGAAGCCCAAATTAAGCATTTCCATGAGGTAGTTAAAGAAGCTCTTTTTTGTTCCTGGTTGGGGAGAGAAGTGAGTGAAGAAAATGGGTGTGTGTGTGGAGGGGAGAGCTCTGCAGGAATTAGCGTTCCTGAGGCAGATGAGGAGGAGGTGGCAGCTCAGTTGAGGAAGCTCGACAGGGCATTTTAGTGAGTCTTAAGGAAGGCTGTGTCAGTCTGCAGACGTGGAGGAGGAGGGAGAAGATGTTTGCACCAGCACTTCGCTGTCTTTGGGGCAATGTTGGGGCTGCTGCTTCTCTTCCTCCTCTGCATGTTTCCATGCTGTTTGGTGCATGACTGGGAAAAGAAGAGGAGTAGTAAGCAGCCAGTGCTAGAGGCAGGATTGGGGGGGGGGGGACCTTTGAAATGGCGGCAACCATGCTGTTCCCCATGATGCATCCAGCCTTTTTTTTTTTACAACATAATGATGTAATAACGTTACTGCACATGCACAAAAAAGAGGAGGTTCTGTTGCTGATGAAGTACATGATGACATGGACACACAGCCCCTTTTCAAAGGAAGTGCGAAACACATGGGGAGGGTCGGATCCGAATACAAGAAAAAGATCCCCGAAATAAATGCTCTTTTGGGGAAGGGGTGCTGCAGAGTCGGAGCGTCAGCCAAAGATTCAACTTGCTGGGAAACAGTGGCAACACTGAGGTGTGGAAAAGGTCCAAGTTTCTAGCCCTCATGGCTGCAAAAATGTGTTTGAAATAAAGTAGACAATGCCTGATGAAACCTTACCAGCCAGAGCAATGCCTGAATGAGGATTTTCAAGAGCTGGAGGTTGCAGTTATTACCGCCCCCCCCCCCCCATCAGTGGACTCACAGTTATGCAAAGTAAGATAGCTGGTACATCTGCATCATGTCGGCAGGCTGCAGAATCCAGCTTTTTAAAAAAAAACAGAATTTACACTAGCTGGGTGCTGAATTCCAAACTGTTCAGTGCAATGACGACTCAGACCTGTGGACAATTGCCCCCGCATACACCAGGGTGGGAGGTGGTTTCCAACCTAAACCTTCCATCTTGAATGATCTCACCTATTGGCTCGGCCTTTCTTAGACCCCAAGCATTCCGTTCTACACTCTTCACTGCCTCCTGCAGGAGTCTCTGGCATTCGCGCTCCTTCTTCATCAGTTCCCACTGCAACCTGGCAGAACAGAAAAGATGAGAGAATTGCCCATTTTGTGTGTGTTCGTAATGGTGGGCCTCCAGGGGGAAGCGGCCTAGTTGAACACTGAACCAAAAGTATCTGAAGCACTCTCCTAAGTAGCAGGGCTATTTTTGGGCAGGAACGCACAGGAATGGAGTTCCGGCTGGCTCCCAAGTTGGCCACGCCCAGCAGGAACTCATTAGCATAATAGGCCACACCCAACAGCAGAAATCCATTAGGATTGGCTTCATTAGGGGTGTGTGGCCTAACGTGCAAAGGAGTTCCTGCTACAAAAAAAGCCCTGGGTTTTGACAACAAACAAGGTAAACAGAATAACAAGCAAAAGGTGGCTGCAGCTGGATAACCACACTTCTGGTAACATGGGGGTGCACCCTAATGTGCTAATGAGCTATGCTGGCAGGGGTGTGGCCTAATATGCTAATGCGTTTCTGGTGTTGGGTGTGGCCTATTATGCTAATGAGTCCCTGGTGGGCTTTTTCTACAAAAAGAGCCCTGCTAAGTAGTATACACAACGTGATATGACAGACTGCTATGTCACTGTCGCTCACTGGATTAGGGGGTGTTCTGGGCCCACAGCAGAGAGCTACTGTGGGGAGGAGGATACGGGCAGCATCCTGACCTCCAAATAATGTTGTGGGATCTGGGGAAGCCAGATTGGAAGCGTCCCTCTGCCGTGGAAGGTCCTAGGTGACCTAAGGTCGGCTGCCTCTCTCTCAGCCTAGCCTACCTCAGAGGTTCTTGTTGTAAGGACAAAACAAAGGAGGAGAGAATGAGAAAAGCAGGATATAAATCAGTAATGGCAAAAGAGTGACAGCTTGCACCCACCCACCAGCTGTGACAGACAGTGTGGTGTTGGGGCGAGATTGGCAGACTAGGTCCCAAGGTTCAACCCCCATGAAGTTTGCTGGATGACTTTGGGCCAGTTGCTCTCAGCCTAACCTACCTCACAGGATTGTTGTGAGGGTAAAATGGAGGGGGGGAGACCTAATGTACATTGCCCCAAGCCTGTTATTGGAAAGGAGGGATAAAAAGTGTACTAAACAAATAAACAATAAATAGCTGTAATAAATGCCTCTCAGCATTGAGAAGTTCAGGGCAGATGTGCCTGCTTCATACATGCATACAAAACACCTGATAACTTACTATTTTCTTCATTTTATACCCCACCTTTCTCCCCAATGGGGACTTGTGCCTGAATGTGTCAAAAGCAAAAGGATTTTGCTTGAGACCTTGGAAATCACATTGCTCCAAACCCAGAGTTCTGGATAGGGTTAGATACTGGGAAGAAGGAGATGTACTCTGCATTGGTTCAGAGATACTCATTCCTTTTAACTGTAATGTTGAAAACCATGCTGAACCTTGCATGTTTATTAACTGTTTATTAACTTCACTTGTACCCTCCATTTCTCTTCAATGTCAACTCAAAGGGGCTTACATCGTTCTTCTCTCCTCCATTTTATCCTCACAACAACCCTGTGAGGTAGGTGTCAGTTGAGTGCTGGCTCCTGCATGGGAGCATTTGTGAGAAGGGGAAGGTGACCACTTGCTTTGTGCGGGATGCACAACCCTATTTAGGGAGCTGGGGGAGGTATGGCCAAAGAGGAAGTGCACAGACCTGCTTCCCAGTGCAAGGGACAGGATGCACAGGAGAGGAGGAGGAGGGTGCTGTATATCCCCCTCCCCTTTCCACAGGAGGCTGTGGCAGTGTGTCTTGGCGAGTGAACTCCGAGGGCAAGGCAGGCACTTCAAGGGACAGTCCCTTTAAGTGCCTTTTCCCCCTCCATTGGAAACAATGGAGAATGGGCCCACCTTCTTCTGGGGATCATAGAATTGGAGCCCTGGTCCAATCTTTTGGAAACGTTGAGGTTTTTTGGAAGAGAGGCACCAGCAGCCACCCCCCAAGCCCAAAATACCCCCAGATGGATTCTCCATTATAGCCTATGGGGACCATTGACTATAATGGTACCCATAGGGTATAATGGAGCCGAAAAAATTCAGCAATCCCAATTATTTCCCAAATCCCAATACCATACTGATATTGGGATTCAGGAATATCGGGAAATACTAATATTTTCCAGATTCAATGTATCCTGACCCGAAAAATACCAATTTTTTTTCATGCACACCCCTAATCAAATGCTGCTTTGAAATCCACATAGGCATAGGCAGTGTAGAGTGCTCCATTTGGCTTAGAGCTGTACTACATGATTGGTTGGTAGTTGGTGAGGTTCAGTTTTTCTCCTTTCATGTAAATTGGACATATACTAAAATTTATCTTTATCTTCAACCAGGTATCTATGCATTCCTTCCCCAAAGAGATGAATGCTCTTAAATGGGATGCTAGCCACTCAAGCATGAGAGGATGGGTCCATTTCCCAGTTGTGGAGCCAGTTGTTATGTCTAGCCATGACATTAGATGCCATAGCTCTGGCCGACAGTTGGATTGCATCTAGCGATACGTCCGCAAAGAAGGCTGCTGCGAGGGCAATCTTCTTTAGCTCATCCTTAAGTTCCTTGGAGATGGCACTACCTGCTGCTGAGAAGTCTGAGGTCCAGGAATAGACTGCCCTTGAAAAGAGTGAGCTTCCTGTAGAGGCCCCCCTTGCAGAAACAGCCTGGCTGAACCAGCTAGTGTGTTCAGACCAGGTGCTTCCACCTCCTTGTCATTGAAAGAGTACGTAGAACCTTAGGAAGGAGCTCAGAGAATATCTCCAGTGGGAAAAGACGGGTCTGCATGGTCTTCCTCCTCTGATAGTTCGCCCTCCTCTTTTAGGGAGGAAGAGTCAGAAGAGTCCGATTCTTCGGAGTCCAGGCCTAGCCAGGGATGTGTTTCAGAGTGGGCTACTTTGCTTCTTTTGGGTCAGGGGGTGAGGGGGAAATTCTACCCTCCCCCCTTCTACCAGACCCTTAACGCGAGGGTGAGTGAGGCCCAGATCTGCTAGAAGTCCTAGAAAGGTTCCTTAAGCTAGAAATGGCTTTGGAAAGGGCCACCCTGACCTCTTTATGCATTTCACCCTTAATCCAGGCTAGGAGGTTGGCCTGGGCATTATCCCCTGAAAGAGCCAGGTTAGGGGTTTCAGGCAGGTCCGAACCATGCTGGGAACCCTGAGCAGAGGCATGGGAGGGTGAGGAGGGAAGCTCAAGGCCGGAAGCCAACATTTCTTGAGGTGCAGACTCGGACATGCCGGCATTCGCCATTTCTTGCCCTTTTTGGGAGGGGACGAATAAAATCTCACCCTGCGGCTTCTAAGGCAGGGGACCTTACTGAGTTTCAAGAGTGTGGCTGGAGGACTGAGCAGACAGTGGAAGCTGCAGCCTGAGATACCCAGCTGGCCCAGCAGGCTCCTGAAGGCCACGCCGAGAGCAGGAGCACTCCCGTAGGTGGCAGCCGCCAACGCTCCACTGAGCACAGGAGTGACTGGGGAAGTTCCTTGCCCGAAGGCCGGAGACTCTGCAGCTGAGCGGATCTTCGGAGGGAGGGGAGGGCTCTCGCCCAGGTGATATCCACTCCTGTGCCCCTTTTGGCTCCCCTGTTATTTTCCACTCCTGAGTAGGTGTTGAAATGTGGGGGGGGGAGGCGATGGCCTTCCCACCCCCTCTAGGAAAAAGATTTAAAACCTCCCTGGAAAAAACCTCAACTGCTGCCCCAGAAGAGGAGGAGAAGAAAGGAAGGGAGAGCTGTTGAAGAAAGAAGTTAAAAGGAAAAGAAATCCTTCGGAATCACAGCGCTCCAGAGAGTGCAGCCAGCAACACCTATCTGCCCTGCAGGCAGGGCCAAGACTGGGGCCTGGGAGAGAAACCCCTCCCCTCCAGGACTCACACAAAGACCAGGGAAAAGCTTCTCCCCCAGACATTGAGACTGCCCCACCCTGGACTACTGGAGAATGGGATAGTTTAAAGCAAGGATGATGGGGGAAAGGTTGAATTCTCTCTGGTTTAGCTGAGAATTCAATGTTCCCTCTAAGCTGTGGAGTCTTGTGAGCAAAAATTCTACTTTTTGAGCGACTGGCATTACAGTTGTGAGCGAGCAATTTGGCTGCTGCATAAATTAGGTTGCTCTGGAGCCATCCTTCCTGAGCCAAGGCAAAAATGTGTGAGCTGGAGGCTAAAAAACTGTGAGCTAGCTCACACTAACTCAGCTTAGAGGGAACACTGGCTGAGATACACACATAAAGCTGTCTCTTACCCAACCATGATGTTCAAAACTGCCTCCTTGAACTAGCAGCAGATCTCCTTCATCTCTGGTCAGATTCCCTACAACCTGATCCTTAAAGTTGGAGATGCCAGGAACTGAACCTGAGACCTTCTGCATGCCAAACAGATGCTCTACCACTGAGCCACACCCCAACCAGCTTTCAGGACTCTGCCCTCCTGTTATGATGTCACCAGTGTTCCCTCTGGCTCACACATTTTTGTCCAAGCCCAGGAAGGATGGCTCCAGAGCAAACTATTTATTTATTTATTTAATTGCATTTATATCCCACCCTCCTCACGCGCGGGCTCAGGGTGGCTTACAAAGCACAGGTGTAATACAACACCACAGTTAAAACAATTAAGGCACACAGTGCGCTAAAATACAGTTAAAACAATGTAAACACAGGTAAGCACAGTGGGCAACTCCCAAGGATCCATTGCAACTAACATACTCGCTCCTTATTGCATATCACATTGAGTCAGAGAGGGGGCTGCTATGGCCCTGATGTTCAGGTGGGCAGTCAGCCTAACCCAGCAGTACTGCTTTGCAGTCACCCATTGGTGGTGGCGGCGGCTCCTATTTGAAAGCCTGGCGAAGAGCTCCGTCTTACAGGCCCTGAGGAACTGTAACAAGTCCCGCAGGGTCCTGATCTCCTCCGGGAGCTCATTCCACCAGATAGGAGCCGCCACCGAAAAGGAAGCCTGGCCTCTTTAGGGCCCGGGGTCACTAGACGGAGTTGTGACCCCGACCAAAGTGCTCTTTGGGGCTTATGCAGTAGTCAAATTGCTCACTCACAACTTTAATGCCAGTAGCTCACAAAGTAGAATTTTTGTTCACAAGTCTCCATAGCTTAGAGGGAGCATTGGATGTCACCATATCTACCTGATTGTCTGGTGGGGCAGGTTTTGTCTACCCTGACAGTGCTGCACCTCCTCCTCACAGGCCCCTCCAGTTACCAACATTGTTAATTACCCAAATCACCCCAAGGGGGAAAGGATCCACCATCCCACCCCCCACTCTATCTTATTCAAACCTATCCAAGAAAAGACTTGCCTTTGCGTCTCTGCCTGCAGGTAGCCCAGCTGGGCAAGGAGGGACCTGCAGCTCTTCAGGGGATGCTGGGAGTCCAGCCAGCTGCCGTTGCTGCCGGTGCCGATTCCGGAGCTTGGTGTTTCTGAACTGTCCTTCACGGTGCTGCTGCAGCTTTTGAGTGAGTGCAGCTCTTCCTGCACTGAAGGTGCCTCCTCCTCTTTGATGGGGGGTCCACAGACTTCCTCGTGTGAGAGCCACGGCTTCACCTTGAGCTCTGGAAGAGACAGAGGAGCCCAGGTGAAACAGCTGAGTGGCTGCAGCTCAGTGGCCAGGACTGAGCTGCCAGTTACATGTCGGGAAGTCCAATCCCCAAATGCGGTGTGCTGGTTTGATTCTTAGAGCACAGCCCAGGCACTCTGATCCCCCAGTTAAGGAAGCTGTGATTTTTAAAATTAAAAATTGCAAGATTCTAGGGTATACCCCAACACACACACACACACACACACACACACACACACACACACCTGAAGCTCAGAAAGGAACTCTTTCTTCTTCCACACTCATTCGTCTACAGGACAGAACAACTCTGAGTCCAGTAATCCCAGGACAGACTCCCACCCCCCCTGCCGGCACCCTACCTGTCAAGAGAACAGTGAAAGCTGCCTGGACCGCCTGCCCCATGAGGTTGTCCAGTGCAAACACCCAGTGTGGCTTGATCTGCAGCTTCCTCAGTGCCTGCTTCACCTGTACGCATGGGAAAGGACATGCACAAGATGTCAGGTGTACAGTCTTCTCTTCCACCCTGGCGACAGACTATCACAGAGCAAAGAACCAGACTTAAGTATCCCTCAAGACCACAGTGGCAACATGCTTGAATGACTATCTAAAGATTAAATGAGGAATGTTTCAGGCCCATAACTGCCCATCTTGTGATGTGGGAATAGAAGACATGGGGTATCTTTTTTTTTTTTTTTGCTATCACGTCACAGCTGGCTTACGGCTACCCTGTGGGGTTTTCAAGGCAAGAGATGTTCAGAGGTAGTTTGCCATTGCCTGCCTCTGTGTCGTGATCCTGGTGGCCTCCCATCCAACTACTAACCAGGGCCAACCCTACTTAGCGTCAGAGTTCTGATGAGATCGGACTATCCAGGTCAATATACATGGGATCAGTGTTCCTTCTAAGCTGAGTTAGTGTGAGCTAGCTCACCATTTTTTAGCCTCCAGCTCACACATTTTTGTCTCAGCTCAGGAAGGACGGCTCTAGAGGAAACTAATTTATGTAGTAGCCAAATCGCTTGCTCACAACTTTAATGCCAGTGGCTCACAAAGTAGGAATTTTGCTCACAAGACTCCACGGCTTAGAGGGAACATTGCATGGGATACCTGTTGCTTAGACCTGTAGCGTTATATCAAACACAACTTTAAAAGAATCAGTGCTCAGAACCTCTTTTTATTTATCTGTAGTGCTAATCTATTTTAATTTAGATATTTATAATCCTTTCCCGCCTCCAATGGGGACCCAAAGCCGCTTACATGGCTCTCCCCTCCCTCATTTTACCCTCACAGAAAACCTATGAAGCAGGTTAAGGCTGAGAGTGTGTAAGCGGCCCAAGGTCACCCAGTGAACGTCCCCTAGAGGAGTGGGGGTGTGAACCCGGGCCTCCCAGTTCCTAGTCCAAAGCTCCACCCACTCCATCACACTGGTCCTTTTGCCCTCTCGGCCAGAATGCTGGGAGGCAAAGGGTGGTTTACTTCTTCATTAGCAGTCAGGTAGAATTTTTTCCTTATGTTCCCACAAGTTAAAAGAACTAGAGGCTTGCTTTTCAAAAGGAAAATTCAGTGTGTGTGTGTGTGTGTGTGTGTGTGTGTGTGTAGCAAGGCTCCCCAGAGCCCCCCTCATCACTTCAGAGCCCCTAGACAAAGATTCCCTCTGTCCCTGCCAATACCACCCAGGCACTGTACAAAAACAAGTCATATGACTGGCCTGGCTCCATGGGCCCCCAGGGACCCTCAAACTCTGTCCCCTCTTGGTGGCTCAGGTTTTCAGACGCTCCCTACGCTGAACGTTTGAGAATCCGTTGTTCGGCACACACCTCTACCTGGCACACTCACAGTATCTTGGAAGGTGAAGAGCGGAGCCTGCAGGTGATAAAGGCTAAGCTGATCCGCCTGCAGGTGGAGCTGGAGTTGCAGAAGGCCCTGGGTGAGCTGCTTGCGATTGGGAGAGCGGATGTAGCTCTTGAGGCAGGACACCAGCTGGGAGATGTGCTCCAATGACAATGGGCTCTGGAGATGGAGGGAAAAAAGGGTCCGGTTCAACCGGGAAGACAAAAGGCCCTGAGCTGTGCTAACAGCTGAAGCTTCAGTAATAAGAACATAAAAGGAGCCCTGCTGGATGAGACCGGTGGTCCATCTAGCCCAGCATCCTGTCTCACACAGTAGCCAACCAGTTCCCCTGGAGGGACAACAAACAGGGATCTGCCTCCTAGCACTGGTATTCAGAGGCTCCATTTGGCCCCCACTGCTAGTAGCTAAAGAGAGAGACTTCTTCTCCAAGAATCCGTCTGATCGCCTTTAAAAACCATTTATGCTCGTGGCCATCACCACAATTGAACTGCTCATTGACCAAAGAAGCATTTTGTTTTTCCAGACTGGCTCAAATGCCCGTTTTCCAGACTGGCTCAAATGCCCATCAGCTTCATTAGAAGGTCCCTTCTTCAAGTGCTGCCCGTGCCCAAGTCCCCCGATATCACCAGCTTCCCTCAGCCAGACTCAGGGGTCATTTCGTAGAAAAAGAGGTGCAGGAGCTCATTAGCACAACTCATTAGCATAACTTGTTTGCATATACCACACCCCCTGACATCAGCGGAAGTGTGTCAGAAGGCAACACCCACTGCTCAGGCTCCACTGGACTGTTTTGGATTGCTAGCTATTGGGTGGGGGGACACACATGCAGATCTGTCCTCGCAGAGGAGGGAGAGCTTGTACCTGAATAAAACTTGGTCTTAAAGGTGCCACTGGACTGTTTTGGACCGGGGGGGGCGGGGGGGGCTCTGCAGCTTACCTGGCTGCTTCTTGCTCTGACTGAGGGCTGCTGGGAGCAGGGGGTGGGGCTTGTTGCATGTGCCCGCCCCCTGGGCTTTTTACTGCCGGAGCTCCGCTCCTGTGCGCTCCTGCAGGAAATGACCCCTGGCCAGACTGAGTCAGCATTATAAGGAGGATCTTGCTGAGACAGATCCCTCCTGTTTTAGGTTTTGGTTTAGTAGCCACATGTTTACCCTTGCATGGTTCAAGAGGCAACTGAGTGCACTGGAGTGGTACGCCCAATAAGGTACCCTTTGGGAAGAGCTGTCGTTCAGTGGCTGTGCACCTGCAAAAAGAGTCAGGTTCAAGACCCGGTGTCTCTCCACTGAAAGAATCTCAGATGTTGGGAAAACTTCATCTCTGCTTGAGACCGACTGCCATTCAGGGTCAGGGATCAGGCTAGACTCAAGCTGTTGGCTTTTGCACATGGTGGACGTCAAATGGATAGCCATATTTGGGGTGAGGAAAGCGTGATCCGCTTCTTGGAATCAGGACTCGGCCCCCTGATAAGCCAACAGAAGGGTTGGACGGTACTTACCCGGTCCTGGACCTCGTGGATTGCAGATGCAATGCTTGGTAGCTCCTCCGTCAAGACTTTGTGGAGCGTGGCTCTTCGCTCGCTGTCCTTCTTCAGCAAGAACAAACAGCCACTCTCCTCATGGGAAGAAGAGGAGAGGTTGAGGTCAAGATTGGCCAGTTTCTCTGGAGTCCTGTGTACACACAGTGGTAGGGCTGGGGTCAAGGGCAGGGCCTGGGCCCCTGCCGAGGCCCACAGCCCTGTTGAGCAGAGATGCTTGGATTCTCAGCTCTTGCCATTCTCAGAAGCAAATAAGAAGAAGAAGAAGAAGAAGAAGAAGAAGAAGAAGAAGAAGAAGAAGAGATTGGATTTCTACCCCGCCCTTCACTACCCAAAGTTGTCTCAGCGCAGCTTACAAACTCCTTTCCCTTCCCCTCCCCACAACAGACACCCTGTGAGGTAGGCGGGGCTGAGAGAGCTCTTGAGAGAAACTGCTCTCTTTCAAGGACAGCTCTTATCAGAACTACGGCTTGCCCAAGGTCATCCAGCCAGGTGCAAGTGGAGGCGTGGGGAATCAAACCCGGTTCTCCCAGATTACAGTCCGCGCACTTAACCACTACACCAAAGTCTTCCATTTCCACTATAGGAGAGGCCCATGGCCACAGTGCGGCATTTGGGGGTGCAGCCCCACCACCCACAAACCCTGCCCCACCACCTGATGATGCCAGACACCCCCCACCCCCAGTACGCCTAGCCCCACAGCAGCAGCGAGGCTGGGGAAAGAAAGGGAAGCTGCACTGCTGCTTCTGGTCAGTTTCACTCCCTGCAGATCAGCTGCTCCATTTAACAGCTGAAAGGAGGGGAGCGAAACTGACCAGAAGGGGCAGAGCCCCTTTCCTTTCCTTCCCCAGCCTCCCCGCTGCGGGGGGTGGGTGGGCGGGGGAAGGAAGGAGAGAGAAGGCATGGTGATGATGGTGGGGAAGCCAATCTCTCTCTCTCTCCCATAACTTTCCATGGCGGGATGGGGGAAAGCCACTCCCTCTCCTGGGGTTGCCAATCTCAAGGTGGTGGCTGGAGATCCCCTGGCATTATCCTGATCTCCAGGTGGACTCTATGGCATTATATCCCATTGAAGTCCCTCCCCTCCCCTCCCCTCCCCACACCCCGTCCTCCTCAGACTCCACTCCCAAAATCTCCAGTCATCTATTATTTTTAAGTATAAGCATAATGGGTGCCCCACAAGAAAAACATTTGCCCTACAGAACGAAAAATCCTGGCTACGGCCCTGCCCTTCTGTATTATGTTTTCTGTGTGATTGTTAGAAATATCATGGGGTGGTAGTGACAGGACACAGTCACCAGATGGCACTAAAAAGCTTCCCCTTTGCTTCTCTGACCTCAGTGCGGGGCACCCTGCGGGGACAACTCAGGACGGTTTCATACCTGCAAGAGAGTGAGCTGGGAATAACAGGGCAGAATGGACTGTACCACTTTAGGCAGCCGGTGGAGGGTTTCAGTTCTGAGTGTTGTTTTGCTTTTTTTTTTTTTTTTTTTTTTTAAACACCTTTCTATGCAAATAGTAAGGTTTGCAAAGAAGGGAGATAAGATTTTACATTCTCTTTTTGTGTTGGTGTTCTAGCTGCAAGGCGTCTTTAAGCACAGAGGACCATTCAAAAATCTGCCCCTTTTCCTGACAGTCGGAAGTGGAGCAGTCTATTCTACCACCTCTATACTGAACACCACTGTTCCCTCTAAGCTGAGCTGGTGTGAGCTAGCTCTCAGTTTTTTAGCCTCTGGCTCACACATGTTTGTCTCAGCTCAGGAAGGAGGGCTCCAGAGCAAACTAATTTATGCAGTAGCCAAATCGCTCACTCACAACTTTAATGCCAGTAGCTCACAAAGTAGAATTTTTGCTCACAGGACTCCACACCTTAGAGGGAGCACTGCTGAACACATTTCCATTGGTCTATCAAGGTCAGTCTTCTTTGGCTGTATCTCAGGTGAAGGCCTTACACATTTCCTCCTCCTTGACCATATTTCACTGGAGATGCCCAGGAATCCCTCTCCTGCCATGGAAGCTCACTGGGTGACACGCCAGTCACACTTTCTCTCATCCTAACCTACCTCACAGAATTGCTGTTATAAAGATAAAATGGGAGCTCATTTTTGGGTCCCCACTGTGGAGAAAGGCAGCATACAGATTAAATTCAGGTACACAGTTTGTCCTGTGGTCTTTGGCTGGCTTTCTCAAGCTATCCACTCAGCTTTTTTTTTTTAGTGTTTGCTTTGTTTTTGTCAGCTGTTGTCTGGATCAGTGTTCCCTCTAAGCTGAGTTGGTGTGAGCTAGCTCACAGTTTTTTAGCCTCCAGCTCACACATTTTTGTCTCGGCTCAGGAAGGATGGCTCCAGAGCAAACTAATTTATGCAGCAGCCAAATTGCTGGCTCACCACTTTAATGCCAGTAGTTCACAAAGGTCCCTGCCAAACGAGGGGCAAAAAGAACGGGCAAAGTGCGGCCTTTAAAAGCCGCACCAAAATAGGCACGCGGCGGCGGGATCATACAGATCCCGTGAGCCGCCGTGCAATTGCTCCCCGGCACGATCAGATGCCGGGGAGACCGGGGAGGAAGCCACGGGAGGCTGCCGAACTGCGCATGTCTGAGCATGCGCAGTTCGGCCAGGACCCGGGGATGCGCCGGCGGAAGAATGCACCGGCGAATCCCACGGCCGGCTTTGATGCGGCCGTTTGGAAAGAACCACCTCGGTAGGTGGTTCTTTTTTGCTGTGGATTATCGCCGGAAGGGCCGGATCGGGGACGGGCGCGCAACACTTCCCAGATGTTGCGGTGGGATCGTGCCCGTTTGCGCCGCCCCCGATCCGTCCCTCTCCCGGCCCTAATCCTCTCTTGTGACCGGGGCCAAAGTAGAATTTTTGCTCACAAGACTTCACAGCTTAGAGGGAACATTGGTCTGGATGGTCTTCAAATTGATTTGCAGTGTGGATGACCATACCTCCAGCAAACCTTAGAACAATATAGTCCACCCCCCTTTTCAAATTCAAAAACTGGCAACCTTGGGATGCAGGGAAAAAAGGAGAAGGAAACACAAAACCTTTGCAAAACTCTACAGGAGGCCCAAGAGTAACTGCAAGTGACCAAGCTTCAAGAAATTGCTTGGACCAGACCCAGAGAGGTGCCTGTGAGCTAGCAGTTCTCCCGCATCAAGACTGGGGCTTTAAAAATGCTCACACTGCATACCGTAAACATTCAGCAGAGCCCTGAATCAGAGCCTAGAAGAAAGGAATGGGGAGGAAAGGGAAGAATCTCAGGCACATTTTCACCATTTGCCATTGGGGAGGGGCTGTGGGGCTCACGGGCAGAAACTCTGATTTGAATGCAGAAGCCCCCAGTTTAATCCCTGGCATGTTCAAGCATCATGCAGGAGGTGATGCGCAAGACCATGGAGAGCCGCTGTCAGTCAGAGAAGACCAGAGGTGGGCAGAAGGTCAGTCTCTAAGCAATTAAAAGTAGCTCTCTGGCCATCCTCCAGTGCTGCTTTCCCTGCCCTTTAAAGCTACCCACAGCAGTTTCTCTCCTTTTTCTCTTTCTTGTGAAGAAGGAAGAGGCACACGGACACCCCTTTGCCCTAGATGTTGAAACAACCAAACCAGCACCCTTCCCCATCTGCCCCATCTCATCTTCCTCATTGATGTACCCTTGCTCTGGATGGCAAATGAGAGTGCTACTGACTCTTTCCTCCTGCATCAAAGCTAATATTTCCCTCATCCAGGGAAAATATCATTGACTAACTGCATATTTTCCACTGCAGGGTAAATTACAATTTGGGGTGGAGTTTGCATTGCGAATACAGCAGAGGGATGGTTTCCCCTTGTAAGCATGGCAGATATGCTCTGAGACACTGAAATATCTGTACAAGCCACCATTTTGTTATTGGCTCCACCCACTGAGCCACCATTTTGTGACTGTTCGCTCAAAGGCTGTTGTGTATGCTGACCGCCACCGGGGGCCAGCGAACAGCCAGAGCTTGACTCTGGAAGAACAATAGGGACTAGGCTCCTAGTCCCTCCACTGGGGAACCAATGGGCACCGTGGCAGGAGATTCAAACCCACCAACAGGGCCCAGGGGCGTGTCCCTGGAGTGTATATAGTTGGCCTGCCGGCCGTTAGTGAGCAGTCTTATTGTGTACCAAATAAAGCGTGCTTTGCACTATGCCGGTCTTTGTCCTTCATCCATGCGGCAAACCCACTACAGAATAAAGGCTCTTGACAAAAATTAAATAGCTCCCAGAAACATAAAGTCTGGAGCAGACAATACTAGCCTGGAGAGACCAAAGGCCTGACTCAGTAGCAGACAGCTTCATGTGTATAAATTACAACACAGATTTGAATTTATGAATGATATTTTGACCAAGTTTGACTCTCTCGCTTTTTTGTTTAAAGAAGATTTGCAATCATGAAGCTCCACAAAATAAAAAAGAAAACACGTTTGTCCCTCTTAAGCGAGTAAGGCACTTGGGAGTAGAATGTAAAAAAATCTAGCTGTTTCCTTAAACCAGTATCTGTCAAAACCAACGCACTGTTTTAGCAAGGTTTAGGTGTGTGTGTGTGTGTTAACGTGGCTCTGTAAACAAGAATTAGAACACAGTTAAAGCGAAAGATCGTTTGGAAAAAAATTTCAGCTGCACAGTGAACCTACCCAAGTAAAGGGTCCCCTTCCATTCCTGTCTGCCCCAGATCTTACCGTAGGTGAGTGGATCTCTGCATCACCTCACTGGAACTTGGGGATAAGAAAATATTCTCTGCCTGTGGCATCAGGGCCTGCAAGGACGGGGAGCGGTCCCTGAATTCAACAATGCCCTCTGCGGAAGTTGACCTTTCAGTTATGGCAGGAGCTGCCGAGTCATCTGTGCAGATGAAAGAGGACTGTAAAAGGGACAGCAAAGAAAAGAGCCCCCTCCCAAATAATCTGGATTGCCAGACTGGCTTGGCTCACTAGCAGGTCTCCTCTCTTTCACCTGTCACTGCTGGGCTCTTGGTTTTCTTCCTACTGGATGTCTTCAAGAAAGACTCCTGAAGTAACGTGGCAGCTGTTGCACGCTTGTCTGGATCGGCTTCGAAACAACTCAGGATAAAGGTCTTGGCTTCATCCGACATGGAGTCAGGCACTTCAGGGTGGATCTTGAACATGCCTACCTACAACAAGAGACATCACTGGAGACAGTAAACAACGTCCCACCCACAAATGGTCTTAAGTGCCCATTCACATTGCATCTGTAGGCATCCTTTGTCAAGGGCCTATTATGCTCCGGTGTTTTCCCTTGCTTTCACCATGCATGTCCACTGGGTTTCTTTGTCGTTCTGCCAGGTAGACTTGGCGTGATCTGGTCCATGGGGTCGCGAAGAGTCAGACTCGACTGTGCGACTGAACAACAACAACAACAACAAATTGATTTTCCTCCCTTTAGCGTGCAGTTTCTTTCTGGTTGCTGTTTCCCTGGGTTTTCTGACATTGTTTTTGTGGCAATTTCCCCCTTGTTTCGCTTCCAAGCTGAAGGGAATTCAGAAGCATACTGATTCCCTCGGATTCTGACACCCCTTCTTATTACCTGAGGCTCTGTGCAGCCAGCAGGCCCGGCCACATGACTGATGGCTCCTGGCCTGTAGAACAGAGCTCAGCAGTCTGTCCTCTTCCAAAGATCAGCACCTAGAGACCCTCCCTCCTGAGAGCAAGCACTTGCCTTAAGCCTCTGACTCCACCCATTCTACATTGCACTCTCCACCCCTTTTGACCTGGTCCGCCCAGAGGCCACTCAGGTGCATCCTGGGAGCCCTCCTACAGGCATTCTGGGAAATCTCCAGGAGTCACCTGGATATTCCTAACACCAAATCCCTCAGTTCCTTTGCAAGTCAAGCCATTTGCATAACCATGGCTGCAATCGCATGGACCTTTAGATCCGACACAGGTGCGAAAGCCAGATGGATCTAAAGGGCGCAATCAGACAGCAACATCTGGGAAGCGTCCCACAGTCGTCGTCGGCCCGTGCTGCTCCGCCACAGAAGCGGAGTTAAAAGACACCGGGGAAAGTCTGGCTCTAACGGGTCCTGACAGGCCACGGACGGACTTTCCCCTGTCTGATCGTGCAAAAGCACAGTCTCATGCCGTTGGGATGGTCTGATCATGCCATCCCGGCTGAGTGCTGTTCCCCCCCCCCTCGCAGTATACACACAATCGCATACTCCACAGGGGGCCCTCAGTGCGGAGGTGCGGTTCCTCGTTTATGCACACGGGAAACAAACGCCCCCCAAAAAACCCTGACTCGCCCGCAGTTGCGTCTGATCACATAGTGACAGGCTGCGCCCAAAACTACAAAGGAGGGGCGTGATCTCGCAACTGAGTGTCAAATTACTCCGGAGGAAACAGCCTCGCTTTCTGTCTGCTTCAACTGGCACGTTTGACCATAGCCCATGGCTGGTAATTGACCTAGCTTCCCGCCCTTCCATACAGAAGAGGAAAAAACCAGGAACATTTTAAAAACTCAGAGTGAACACTCAGGTGTGGTGGGGTTTCTCCACAGTTACTACGCAGCTGTGCTAGGGCACTGGTGAAAATACCCCCCCCCCTTTCTTCAATTTAGTGGCACAAGACTAAAAAAGCTCTCCACAACTTCTGCCAGAGGACTCCTCCTCCCCCATAAAAATTGCAGCTCTCTTCAAAGTGTGGTGGAGTTGCAGCTGACTTTGCACAGGCGTGCATGCCCACACACACACTGCGAATGAGCACAGCTTACAGTGCCATGTCAGTGGGTTTTACCGTGCATTCTGTACACTCAACATGTTCCCCCATATTATGAGACTGTGTGTCTCTTTCCCATTTGTTACAGTGGCCGATAACACAGCAGAGAATCCCCTAGTGCTCAGCAAAATGGAAAAGGCAGCTTAGCAGCTGCTTGTCAGTTTCAGAAGAAGTCTGGCCAGTTTCAACAGTGGGTTTTCCACCTTTACCTGCCTTCCCTTCTGTTTCCTTTCATTCAAGAAAGGAATTCTAAAATTTATGCACAAAACCTGAACCATGAAGATTTAAATGGAAGGTAGTTGCTGGATGCTACTGCGCAGCTGCAATAGGGCAATTGTATAAATTAATTAAAAAGTTTGGATGCCACCCCCCACATGTCACAAGCACAGTTCCCTCTAAGTTGCATTAGGGGGTGCTGGCGCACAGCATTTCAGAAGCCAGATCAGAGGATTTCAGCTTCAACTCACAACATTTTTTTCCTTCCGTAGGAAACAATGGAGGATGGGGGCACCTCCTTCTGGGGCCCATAGAATTGCTCCCCCTGGTCCAATCTTTTGGAAACTTGGGGAGGTTTTTGAGGAGAGGCACCAACAACTATGCTGCAAATTTGTTGCCTCTACCTCAAAAAACAGCCTCCCCCAGATTACACTGGATTGAGTCTCCATTATAGCCTATGGGGGCATTGATTATAATGGTCCCCTAGGCTGTAACTGAGCCAGAAAAAAAATTATATTATGCTTTTCAGTATGATTTGTAAGCTGCCTTGAGTCACAGGGAAAAGTGGGATATAATTATTTGAATAAATAAGTCATTTGGGCAGGTTGATAACATTTAAACAACTTCCTGTCTGTTAGGTTAGGCAGCATTCTGACAGTGATTGTTCCACCTTTGTTATACTTGGCATGTAATGCTGGTTGTCATATTTCACTAAAAAAAAATCCAAGTAGACTGCAAGAGTTTTTTCTCCCCTAAGTGCTGGTATGTTTTTTAAGGGTCAGTGCAAGGTGATGGTCCAAGGCCAGGTCTACCAATATAATGGACTGAGGTGGGTAAACCTCCAGAGGCCAGGTCTACTAATATAGTGGAAAGGGGTGGGTAGACCTGTTCTCTGGAGGACAGGTCTACCAATATAGTGGACTGGGGCAGGTAGATCTGTTCTCTGGAGGCCAAGTTATCAATACAGTGGATTGGGCCCTATCTACCAATATAGTGGAAAGGGCCTGGTCTACCCCTGTAGAAGACAACATTTTGTGTAATGAATTTTGACTTGATTCTGTTTTCTCTTATAATGTTCAGATTATTCTTAAAATATAGTTTAAATATAGTTTAAAATAATTCATTCTGAGATATTTACAAGGTTATGGAAATAATCTTCAAAAAATAATTTATGCAATAGTCCACTGTAGACTCGCTCACAACTTCAATGCTACTAGCTTTTTTTTGCTCACAAGGTAGAATTTTTGCTCACAACACTGTGGAACGTAGAGGGAACATTGGTCACAAGTGACATTCTACCATGATTTAGAAAACTGCATTTTAAAAATTGTAGCTGCAGAATACACCGGAGGAAAAAGAACTGTGTGTGTAAGGCGGGCACAGAGTCCAAAGTCAAGATTAAAGGCTTACTGCTCTGAAAATCTGCAGTAAGATGTGCATACATAATGGGCCCATATTCTGTCTTTGGAAAAGGATACAGAGTCAACGCTGGGGCCTCAATCTGCCAGCAATGGGTTTGTGGAAGTGTTTTCTGAGGGAGACCCATGCCAGTCACAAAGGGGATAGGGTAGACTCTCAGCTCTTGCACAAATTGCTCATCCACACTATTGGTTGTTGTCAGTTTGGTATTCCATAAGCCTGGACTCCTGCTCTATTCACCCAGCCATTGCCTCTTCCTACACGAGGATCCTGTTCAAGACCATCTTCATCAACACAGGGCTTTCCTGCATTATCCTCACCTAATCCGGCCAACTCCGCCCAAGGCAACACATTCTCATCTATCCCTTCTTCACTGTCCAGTAGCTACTTCATGGCCTTTTCTGCACCCCCCTTTTTCTGTTATGTATACTGTTAATTAAGCGTGTGCACACACACATTAAGCTTCAAAACAACTATTTTAGATAACCGGAACTGGGAGAACTTAATGGATGGGAATCCCGTCCCAAACAAAGAAATCTTCCCCTTCAGGATTCTATAAGCTCCTGAGCATGCCAATATTCCCATCACTCTCTGTATTTTCTCCATTAACTGATTCTCAGCTGTTCTCAATGTTTGGTGCTCCCTGAAGCATGCTCAGTCCTTATCCAGCTATTGTTTCCTGCATACCTAGACAGTTCCTTGAACATGTTGCTTGGAGCCTAGATTGGCTTTCACAGTTGGCACAAACCACCCACTTTACTCTTAGATGCAGCAATGTAAATGCATATTACTTTACTAAAGGTAAAGGTTTCCCTTGCTCGAAAGCCAGTCGAATCCAACTCTAGGGTTGCAGTGCTCATCTCCGTTTCAAAGCCAAAGAGCCAGCGCTGTCCGAAGACGTTTCCGTGGTCATGTGGCCGGCATGACTAAACACCAAGGCGCACGGGACGCTGTTACCTTCCCACTGAAGTGGTCCCTATTTATCTACTTGCAATTTCTTGCTTTCGAACTGCTAGGTTGGCAGGAGCTGGAACTAGAGACAGGAGCTCACTCCGTCATGCGGCACACCCGGGTCTCAAACTGCTGAACTACTGATCTTCCACAGCCTGCAGTTCAGCGTCTTAACCACTTGAGCCACCGCAGCTCCTTTATTTTATTATGAGGTGATAAAGCACATAAAACAGACACAAGGCAATGAACTGTCACACTCTGTTGATCGTCTTGCAGGACTCTGGGTCCCTCCATGGGCGAGCCTATCTGACTCCTTCTGAGTCAGATAGGCTTTCCCACGGAGGGACTCAGTTTCTGCCTTACCTTGAACATGGCGGCCTGTGGGCTTCCCAGCTCGAAGAAAGGAGGCTTCCCTGTTGCCATCTCTATGATGGTACATCCCAGGGACCAGATATCTGCCGGCTTGCCATAGCCTCGTGGACCCTGATCAATGACTTCTGGAGCCATGTACTGCAAGGTGCCTGGAAAGGAAGGGGAGTGTCAGAATGAGTAAAGGAAGCCACACCTTACCGGCAATGAAAATATGTTCCTTTTTAATTTTATAACTTTTAGGCAAAAAGCAGGGCCTTGGAGGGCAGAAAGGCAGGGTATAATGTCTTTTTAAGTAAGCAGGCACACCCCTTCTCCATTTTAATCCTTAGGCAAGGAAGCTAATCTGGCAAACAGCCAGTTCAAAGGGGCCGAGGCCTCGGGAAGAGGTGTGAGTTGGAAGGCCAGAGCACAAGAGCTCTTAGCCTGGGCCCCACAATGTCCAAACTGCTACTGGGGAAAACTCCACCACTCCAGCAGAGGGTGAGAGACACCAGCTGTATACCTGAAAATCAACAGCAGTGCTGAAAATGGACTAAACAAAACCTGCTGGACAACACTAACTTCAATAAATCAAGAACTTAAACCCTGGATTGTGTTATGGCTTCTCTGTGGAAAGTGGCATGTTGAATATGGGTGTGTGTGTGTGTCTTTGTTGGTTTGTGTGGCAGTTAATAACTGGGGTAGGATGTTTGTTGAACATGCACTTTAGTGCAGATGGAAGCAGGCAGATTTGGGGGAGGGAAATTTCAAAGATGGCCACCACTAGGCAAGAGTGTGCACTTATCTATTATAAACCTAATCTAACATCTATAAACCTAAAAGTTTATCTATTCTCCAAAACATCTCAAGTAATGAACATAAGAACATAAGAGACGCCAATGTTGGATCAGGCCAAAGGCCCATCCCGTCCAACACTCTGTGTCACACAGTGGCCAGAAATACCAGGTGCCATCAGGAGGTCCACCAGTGGGGCCAGGACATTAGAAGCCCTCCCACTGTTGACACCCCCCCAAGCACCAAGAAGACAGAGCATCACTTGCCCCCGAGCCCCTATCTATACCTTGTGGCTAATAGCCACTGATGGACCTCTGCTCCAGAATGCTGATCCAAGAAGCCCTATTTCCCCTACTTCCTTTTTGAATATTGTGCAACATCCCTTACCTGTGAAGGTCTCTGCCTTGGGGCTGATCCCTGCCAACCTCTTCGAGGTGCCGAAATCGGAAATTTTCAACACTCCGCTGTATGTGTTGATCAAGACGTTATCTCCCTGTCAACCCCAGAAAATGAAGTCCAGCTTTAGGGAACTACGTGGGGGAGAAAAGAGGCACCTCCTCTCTCCTCCTCCTGGCCATTCTGAAATGATGCTCAGAGCTGGAACCAACTTCCATCGAAGCAGACAAGCCCACCCTGAGGCTGCTCTCACCTTTATGTCCCTATGGACAATCTGGTTGTCATGCAGGTAGCGCAGCCCCTCTAGGATCTGTTTGGTGTAGTAAATGATGGTTGGTTCGTTGTCCTTCAGAGGGCCCCACATGGAACGCAAGAGAGAGGAAAGACTCCCTAAAGGAGAACAAAAAAGAAGTCTCAAAGAGGATGGTAGGTCCAGGGTCCAGATCCACCCTCCCAAGACAGTTCTCTGGGTATTGCTAGCCCTCCCAAACTGGCTCATAGCTTCATTTACTGACAGAAATAAATGTTTTCATATTTGCAAGAGGCTGAGATGTCTAATGTTTACATCTCTCTCCTGGGCTTGCATAGGCATCTCAGCACATAACTCATAACTGTCTAGCCATTTTGGATGCACAGCAGCAGCTCTGCTACAGAGTGTGTCTATCCTGGAGATCGGTTTGGATAGCACAAATGGGCAGATGTTTTTAAAGGATTTTAAAAACAGCAAGAGATAAACAGTAAAATCAGACAGAAAAAAATCTCTGTAATAATACCTTAAAATTCTTAACAAGCAGGTCCAGCAGATCAACAACAAAAGCGAAACACACACATGCACAGACATGCATGCATGAGTGCACATACACAACACACACACACACCCCTCCACACACTGAAACTGCCAATTAAAATGCTTGGGAAAAGTAGAAGAGAGAAGGTGGCCTGTTACAGATTACTTTCTCCTGCCACTCTGTTAGCAGTCAGATCCCTCTTGCAGAGGGGCAGTTCAGTGGTCAGTCAAAGACAGGCACAAACACCCTTCATGTTTAATATCACTCCAGATATTATCCTATATATATAATCGCCCTAACACATTGGCCATTTCCAGATCTCCCACTGGCTGTGCAGTGTACTCCATCAGCCATTAGCCCATCAACTGCCACTCAAGAGTACTCACGTGCCATTGGCTGGGTGCTGGGTCTGCTCCTCTCCCCTGCCCACTGCCAGCCTGGACACGCTTCCCTCACAGAATAAACTATCAAAATGGCTGTCTCTCCTGACGAGGACACTTCTGCTTGGCTCCTGTGGGACTAAACTTTTCCTTCAGTGGCTGCTGCTAGGCAACCAAGCTTGGTTCTGTCAGTAAAAAGGCAAAGGAAGGTTCCATGCCTTTGTGGGGAACCCATTGGGGCTAGTCCTGATTAGGGTTGCCAGTTCCAGGTTGGGAAATTCCTGGATATTCTAAAGAAGCCAGAGTTTGGGGAGGGGAGAGGCCTCGGCTGAATAGAATGCCATAGAGCCCACCCTCCAAACCAGTTATTTTTTCTGGGGGAGAGAGATCTGTTGTCTGAAGTTTGGTTGTGATACCCAGTGATCTTCAGGTACCACCTGGAGGTTGGCTACCCTAGGCGTAGTAGTTAGCACTTCATAGTAGGATCTGCCAGATCCAGGTTCTTGCTGTGGAAGTTGAATGGGTGATTTCGGACCATACCTACCTCACAGGGTTGTTGTGCAGATCAAAAGGGGGAGAGGAGAATGATGTAAGCTGCTTTGGTCTCCACTGCAGAAAAAGACTGTACTTTTCCTCCTGGGGAACCATTGCTGCCAATCTCCAGGTGAGGGCTGGAGATCACTCAGAATTAAAACTGCTCTCCAGATGACAGAGATCAGCTCCCCTGGAAAAAATGGCTGCTTTGCAGGGTGGACTCTGTGTCATTATACCTTGCTAAGGTCACTTCCCTCCTGCTTGGGTCTCCACTGTGGAGAAAGACTGTAGTTTTCCTAGGTAGAGGCTCCAAGGAGGGGGGAAGAGATGGAAACCTGAAGTCAGAGGGGCAGATAATGGTACGTTGATGGTTGACTGGGTTGCCCCCTCTGGGTTGGGAAATTCCTGGAGATTTGAGGGGTGGAGCCTGGAGAGAGTGGGGTTTGAGAAGGGGTGGGACCTCAGACAGGTACAAAGCCATAGACTCCTCCCTCCAAACCAGTCATTTCCTCATGAGGAACTATTGTTGCCCATTTCCAGGGGAGTGCTGGAGATCACTCAGAATTACAACTGCTCTTCAGATGGCAGAGATCAGTTCCCCTGGAGAAAATGGTAAGCTCTGTGCCATTATACTCTGCTGAGGTTACCACAGCAAATTGACGCTGAGTGCCCAAGGCCAGGGCACCTGCCCAGAGCCTCTTTCTAAAGCTTGTTGTATTTATTTCCACAACAGGCCTTATTCCTAGTTTCATATAAAACATTGCCTGGCTCAAAGGTGACCCCAAAAAGCTATGCCAGCCAGGAAATCAGCCTGGGAAACTATTTGGAAGAGGCTAACTTGCAGATAACTCTCCTTCATCCTAAAGCAATGCATAATTTATAACAATGGGTTTCTCAGGAAAACAGGATCTTACTTTGAACTTAACCTCTTTCATCCCTGACCCAGCTTCCCCTTTAACACATTTACTCTTGGTAGCGTATTTATAACACCTGGAAGTTTCTCCCCATCCTGCACATTGAGGGTCATCAACAGCATATTATCAGCTCTGGGAAAACAATCAAGCTTTGATCAATTCTTTGATCTGCTGGGAGAACCATTAAGCATTTGTTCCAATCTTTGGGAACATTTCAGTAAACACATCAAGTCATTTGCTCTTGGGACAAACCTTTTATATTGCCTTAGGAAACATTTTTCCTATAAATACACGCATGCACCCATCTTCATTCTCTGTGTGTGGGTTTCTCAAAGTTAGCCTCACATCAAGTGCTAGTTGCTTCTCTCCTCCTCAGACCCGAATCTACGAGACTGGTAAATATCACCCATCCTAAACTACTATTTCCCCCACTATGCCCTTTATTTTCTCTTAGCTCTTGTATGTGTGTTTCACAGTGTGCTTATATCTGTGTTTTAGCTCTTTTTTATTTTTCAATAAAAATACTATTAGTTAAACAGCTTGGTTTATTTGAGAGTTCCCTGTGGGAAGGATTCCTGTAAACTTTGGTGGAGATTTTCGCTACTTGCCCCCTCTTGCTCTGACTCATTAAAGCTAATTTCCCACTCTATACAATAGACAGCACTTTGGGTAGCAGCTCTGGGCTCTACAGATATGTCCTGGTTGAACATCATCTGTTGATGAATATCATTTGTTGAGACCCTGCTCTGGGTGACCCCAGACTGGCTACAAGGGACAGGGCCTTCTCTGTGTTAGCACCCTACCTGAAGAATCTGCTTCCCAAAGAGATCCACCTGGCCCATTCTCTATTTTTTTTTAGATATCAAGTGAAAATAATCTTATTTACTCAAGACTTTGGTGGGCTTTTAATGGTGGATGGTTTTTGTTGCTGACGTTTCTGAATGCTGAATTTTAAGTGGTTCTCTCACACATCCTCATCTTCATCTTTCTCCAAAGGAGCCAGAGTGTTCTTCTTCCCTCCATTCTTCTCTGACTACAACCGAGCCCATCCCATACATATAATTCTCATGAGGGAAAATGTTCTATTTTGTTTCTGAAACTGACATCAATACCCTATATTGTGGACTTAACAGCCTGGGCCAACAAGTATGCCCATATTCCTTTCCCCATGCACGGGTCCTACTTAATCGTAGCTTCCATGCTTGAATGCTATCCAGTCCTGATCCAGTGCTGGGGAGTCAGGAATTCTAGCTCCTACTCCTCTTCTGCTCTCCCTCTGTTTCTTCTCAGCCTGATCTACCCACTCGAATCCACCACACTCAAGACTGCATTTTCAGCATCTCACCTCCAGGTACCTCCTCCATAAAGATCTTGAGGAAGCCACCTTGGCTGATGGAGCCCAGATACCGGACAATGTTCTTGTGCTTCAGACGCTTATGGAGAGCAATCTCTTCGTGCAGGGGCTGTGAGTACCTGAAGAGCAGCAGACCCAATTAGCAAAAGAGGGCCGTGACAAGTATGGGAATTGGCTGCCCCTTCAAAGCTTGGCCAGACCTCTCATGAATAACCTCAGACCCCTCAGATCCCATGTGAAGGCAGCCCTAATTCCTGTGTCTGCTGCCCACCTGTGTCATTTACCCACCAGATGTTCCCTACCTGCTGTCCCGCTCTGGAATCTCCTTGATGGCGATGCGCACTTGATTGCTGAGGTCTCGCCCAGCATAGACCACCCCATAGGTGCCCTTGCCCAGAATCACCCTGTCGCCTGATTCCGTGTATTCATAATCATACTGCAGAAGCCAAAAATGAAGGATTAGGGAGACGCCTGGAAAACCTTTCTGGAACTTCTGCCCTGTCCTGCCCTGCAATAGGAACAATCAGCATGCCTGCTAGGCCCTAAGAAAGCTGGGGTCCAATTCACAGTCTTGAAAGAACGCACACTCCAGGCTGCTGAGAGATGCGATGCAGGGCCCTGGTCAGCCTAGGGGACCACAAAGCCAGGCAAGACAGGATTTTTTCTAGGCCTTTAGATTAGGCATGGGTAACCCAAAAAAGGGCCTGCTGGTTATATTAGTTCTAAGTTACACCCTGATGCCCCCTCTCTCCCCTTGCCCCAACTCACCTCTAGCTCCTCTGGGGAGCTGCAGCTGTTACCTTCCTCGCCTGCTTCTGATATGAAAGAACGGACCAATTCACAAAACCTAAGATGGCAGAGAAGGAAGAAAAGGCCTTGGAAGCACAGAAGCTTTTCGCAGTATCCCCAGTTCTCCACGGTTAAGGGGAAAATGCTGTTCAAACAAATTACAAAGATGATCTGACTCCAATGGTAACAAGAGAAAGAAATTTTACTTACAAAAATAGAAGCATATCTTACATGACATATTCATGTAGGTACATTTAACTTATTGTGAACAGATTAACTTCAAAAAGGTTAGCTTGCTACAGCTCCAAGCCCAGGTAAGAGAGAGAGAAAAAGAGGTCCTATATAATGAAACAGAAGGCAAGCAACAGCCAAAGAGGCTCAACAACTAACCCATCAGAGGGTGGGGCCAACTGCCAAGTGTACTCGAGCAGAGAATTCTCTTTCCCCCTTCCCCCCCCCCCGATCCTCTTGCATGCAGATTTACCATATCCAACACTAAGTCCCTCAACAATCCTTTTGTTCCATTCCATTCATTTATTCCATGTTGTATATAATTCGTTTTCACTTATTTTCACAACATGGGTCCGTGTTACTTAGAGCTGTAACATATGAATCAGCTTCCAGATCGGTCCTACAAAAACCTCTCAGTTTTCCCATGAGGGAAAACTGAGACATTGGTGGCTTCCACAGATGTTTTTCTCCATCTTGACTTCCAAAGTATAATGCTGGTCGTTGGTTGTTTTTTGAAGGGTCGGACTCGACTGTGCGACTGAACAACAACAAATCCACACAACAGCGTGTTTTATTTGTCCTTTGTTCTTTTTCCTTGTCATGCTCTCCTTTCATGAAACCTGGTTTTCTATTATCATTTCTGAAAGAACGCCATGCCTTCTGGACAGTGTGCAGTTTCAAGGGCCCCACTCACAACAGCAACATTTTCATCCCATCAGCCCTTTACAGATGCAATTTTCCCTGCTGTGCCACCAGAGGGCTTTTTTGAAGGGTTAAAAATGTCAGCTAGGCTGCCGCCATACGGTTTATAGGCCTGGAGTTTGCCTGCCGAACCTCTGTACAAGTTGGTGCCACACTCCTTCCCTCTTCCTCGCTCATCGTTATCGCTGACCTTGTATTCCTGTCTGTGTAGTGTGTCTCCACTTTAACCGTGAGACTAGTTCCGTTTCTCAGCCTCGACCATCGGTTATTCCTTCCCGCCCGTGGGAAACGGGCCGATTGGCTCGCAGGTGGGTGGGGGGACCTGTTGAATCCTCTATATCACTATACGCTTGTTCTATATTCGTCATTCCTAACAGTGACCATGTTACTGGAACCATAGTACTAACAATAAAGTAAAACCTTTCTTGGAAGCGTGTGCTCTGTTGTTTGGCTGTGAGTCCTGACAAAAAAAAGCCCCAGGTATTGCTATAGGATCATAATGCTACAGCAATTGCCATTTTTTAAAAATGCCCTCAAAACAGACCTCCAGTGGTGAAATGGGGGGGGGGGAGATGCAGGGATACAGGCAACTGACAAGAGGAAACTGTACAGAAAACACCCACATGGGTGCTCCACTGTCAACACAGCAGTAATAAATGCAGAATCAGTGCCATCTGGAAGTAGCCTTGCCAGAGGATATGAGGTCGCCCTAATCCCACCCGCCCTCCAAGGAGCTCAGAATGGCTTTCATGGTTCTCTCTCCCCCATAGCATCCTTATAACCACCCTATGAGGTGAGAATATGCAACTAGCCCAAGATCACCCCAACAGCTTACCTGGAAGGATGCGGACCTGGCTCTCCCAGATCATTGTCCAACACTTGCCACAACATCACACTGGCCCACACTCTGTCCCTGTAGGCACCCCCAACTCACCAGCGGCAGTGATACTGTGTGGGAAAACACAACTGGAAGTCCTCGGCTGTGTGCAGTACATAGAGGAAGCAACACCTCTCATCACATTTGGAGATGCTGGTGAGGAAAAAAGGTGGAAACGAAGGCCGGACATCAGTGCTTTACAGAAGCAGCTCCTCCTCCTTGCCTCATTGGTTATAGCCTATTAAGCTCTTCATGGTTTGGGATGAGGCGAGTTTCTGTGAGGGGTAGCATCCTGCCTCTCATCCTGCTTGATTTTGCCCACCAGTTAAGGTCACCATCAGAAGCCCTGCTCTGTGTCCCCCCCCCACACACACACTTTCACAGGCTAGATGAGGAAGCCCCAGAGACAGGACCTTCTCAGTGGTGGCAGAAGCTCACCTAGTGCCACATCTACAAGTGTTTAGATTTTGGGCCTTTGAGTTCTCCTGTTTTATCATAGTTCTGTTAATGGCAGCTGCTTTATGTCCAGTGTTGTTTTTAAAAGGGTCTTTGTAAGTTTATGCTGTCTCATTTTAAAATCTTCCTATTTTAATTTGCTGTCATTTCTAAATTGCTTTTGCTGTGCATTTTAATTTTTAAAATGTTTTATTGTTATTTATTATTGCTGCAAGCTGCTGTGTAGATATTTATACAGTACGGCAGGCAGGGCCGGATCACCCGCTAGGCGAACTAGGCATTCGCATAGAGTGCCAGGCCCTGGATGGGGCGGGCGGCAGGCCCTGGATGGGGTGCCAAAGTTCGCCTCCCCCCCCAAAAGCCCACGTGCCACCTAAGTGTGCCACCGAAGTTCACCTCCCCCCTGCTCCACTGCCGAAGCAGCTGCGTAGCCACCCAGCCCCGGGTCCCCCGCCGCTGAGCTCTGGATGGGGCGCTGAACTGCGCCTCCCCCCTCATCCTCCCCCCCCTCCGTCTGGGCTCTGCCTGGGGAGCCGCTTGCCGGAGCCCCCTCCGCCGCCTCCTCCTCCGGCCAACCCACTCGGCCTCCTCTTACCGGCTCTGCAGCATCCTTTCCCCACAGGGATGGGAGCCCCCGCTGACCCCGGAGATCTGCGCCCAGCCTCGCACTGTGGATGGAGGCGCGGACGCGTGGGCGGCGCTAGCGCTGCTGCTTTCGGCTGGGCTCAGCCATTGATAGGAGGCAGCCGAAGGTGGCCATCCACCATGGCGCTCTGCAGCTGTTCCAGGCCGGCCGGGTCTTGGGCCGCCTCTGCCAGGTGCGCTGCAGCAGCAGGAGCTGCTGACGGCTGCCCTGCACTGGGGAGCCTCGGCTCGGCTGGCTTGCGGGGGGAGGCTCCCCTGCAGGATGCAGAAGCCGTGAAGGGGAGCCGGAGAGCAGCAGTGGCCGTAGTGGTGGGTAAGTGAGAGAGGCAGTGGGCGAGACGGGGAGGGTGCGGGAAGGCCGGCCGGCCGGCCACTAGTCAACTGGGAGGTCTTCAGGCCCCACCGGGAGGTTGGCATCTGCGCTCACCTAGGGCGCAGAAACACCTCGAGCCGGCCCTGACGGTGGGACACAAATACTTTAAATTTAAGAAATAAAATGGATAGCCTCTCTGCAAAATCCCACCATCCAGCTGTTCCTGTAGCAGCCTTTTGGGGCTAAGATTTTGGAAGAGCGACTGGATTCAACTGCTGACCTAATGAACTCAGTGGGGGCACAAGGGCTGGTTCCCTACAGCTGAGGACTTGGGTTCTGTCCTGTCACCAGAATCCATTTGTCCTGCTGCCATCCTTAGGAGGGATGCATTGTTCTTTGAATGATGAGAACCAAGTGCATCTTCTGCAAGGTCATCATCCTCCATTCATGTACAGTGTTCTATTTAAACAAATATGTTTAATATCAGGTTTTGTTGCTCTTACTGCAGAAGTGACCAGGTCCATATTCTTGGCATGGAGCAAACTATACAATTTACAAATATTAATCACTTCCAGTATTAAATTTAGTCATCCTTTAGAAGAATAGTGCTTATTTCAGAATTGATGCAATCTGTACCTGTGACGTTGCTTTCTACTGAGTCAGACTCGTGGTCTATCAAGAACAGTCGTCTACTCAGACTGGCAGCGGCTCTTCAGGATCTGAGACTGAGGTCCTTCACATTACCTCCTATCTGATCCTTTTAAGTGGAGATGCCAGGGATTGTACTGGGGACTTTCTGTGTACAAAGCAGATGAACCAGGGCCCCTCCTCTTGGGAGCAGAAGTAGCTAAAATGGGATGTGCTTAATCAACATGAAAAGCCAATGTACACAAATGCTATTAGCATTGAGAGTTGCATGCCTGTATATGCAAGACAAAAGGCCTATAGTTCAATGGCAGCGCACATGCTTTGCATTATGCATAAGGCTCCCTTTCAATTCCTGGAACTGCCAGTTAACAGATCTCAGATAACTAAGGGTCAAGCCAGAGGTGGATCTCTCCTAGCCTTTTTCATACAGGGAGAAGATTTAACCCCTCCACTCCCACATAGTTCTGCTAATCAAAGCTCACTTCCCTGACTTCTTTGAAGGAACAGAGTACTTATCTTTTTGCCCATCTTTCTTTTTAAAGCACTGTATAGAAATATTGATTTCTAAAAGCCCCTGCCTTCCCCTGGGATGTCGTTCTGGTACCATGCTGTGTTGTATTTCCTGTTGAAGCCAAATGGCCTGCACATTTGGCCGGAGAAACTTTATAGCCCTGCTATATAACCACACATTCCTTCACACTTCCATGCTGGAAGCTAAGCCAGCATGTCAGAAGCTCACGTAGGCGATGGACGGGCTGGAGTTGGGGGCCATGTGACTGCAGGCGTGGTTTCCAAACTCCCAGCCTATGCCTAGTTGTACCCATGACAAATAAGAAATGGGCACATCCCCTGTCTACTCCTGATTGGCTGATGGCCACGGCTGGTCATGATTAGATTGGGGTTTAATTGTCTGATCCCTTAGAAGAGAGCTCTCTGTTCCTACTCTCTCTCTACTTGTTTGAATTGCACCTGGAAATGCTGTCCCAGGTGGAACAAAGAACTGCTTTGTGAGCTGAGCACATGGCGTGCAAAGATGGGATTCTTACTAAAAATCCCTTGGTGATACCTGGATTATCACACTGGACAATCTTGAACTCTTGGAAGCTCCTGCATGTGGTAACTATGACTTATTAATGTTTAGTTAAGGCAAACTGACCTAGCCTTTCTTGTTTTGAAATCCTTATGGTCTGATTGCAATACTCTGTGCTGAATAAAATATTATTCTTGTTTCTAACTTGTCTTGAGGTTGTAACTGAATTCTAAGCCTAAATCTTGCAGCCTGAACGCTGACCACATCTGCTACCTAGGTAAAAGTTTGCATCTCTGGGAAGGAGGTGCTAGTGTGTTAAGTCCCAGATGCCAACTCAGAGATCTGTGTCTCTGCTCTGAGCTGGAGGGGATTATAGAATACTGAGAGATTCTGGTTTAATGTATTGAAAAGTGTAGGCTTCCCCCTCGTTCCTGGACAGGCTTGAGGGGCAGAAACCTATACAAGCACTGTAAAGAAATTGCAAGTAGATAAATAGGTACCACTTCGGTGGGAAGGTAACAGCGTTCCGTGCGCCTCGGTGTTTAGTCATGCTGGCCACATGACCACGGAAATGTCTTCGGACAGCGCTGGCTCTTCGGCTTTGAAACGGAGATGAGCACCGCAACCCTAGAGTCGGATTCGACTGGCTTTCGAGCAAGGGAACCTTTACCTTTACTTAAAGAATATGGAGGGGCCAGTTTTGGTTCATTACTCTGGGCGAAGAGGAAAAGATACAGCCCCTTAACCCTTTTTGTGCAGCTTTGATCCAAGTCAGGGCTCTGCACAGTTGTAACTGATTACAAAAATGCTGGGAAGACCTGATCATGGCTCTCCTGGTGTCTTGTCTGTTTTGCTCCTAAGGCTGGCAAAGATCTTAATAGAAAGCCACGTTCTCCTTGAGATGCTCATTTTCTGTGTGCAAAGAGGTATATTTTTAAATGGAGGCGCATCAGATCGCCCTGTGTGGCCTCAAGCATTGCAGCCTAGAGACAGGTTGAGCACCTCAGTGAAAACAAGGCCTGGAGGAGAGATCCAGCAGCTCCCTCCTTCCCATGCCTCTCTTGCAGGGGAGGAGGAGGTAAGCAAGCCGGCAGAAGCACCAAGCCAGCATGTCATCCAACACAAGCCATTTCAACTGCATTAAAAAGTTATCACCTGACTCCACGGATGGAAGATGCCGGAAATGTCCAGGTCGAAATTCCTTCCTGCGGGGACCAATTAAAAAAAATCAAAATAAAGTGACGCCCCCCCAATAACCAATGCCTCCCCCCCAAAAAAAAATCCAAAACAAAAGCGAACTTCCCCAACTATGTGAGCACCAAGTAGTCATTATCACCACTAGGGATAAGAAGAGAGAAGAAGAGATTGGATTTATACCCCACCTTTCACTACCCAAAGGTGTCTGAGTGGCTGACAAACTCCTTTCCCTTCCCCTCCCCACAACAGACACCCTGTGAGGTAGGTGGGGCTGAGAGAGCTCTTGACAGAAACTGCTCTTTTTCAAGGACAGCTCTTATCAGAACTATGGCTTGCCCAAGGTCATCCAGCCAGGTGCAAGTGGAGGAGTGGGGAATCAAACCCAGTTCTCCCAGATTAGAGTCCGCACACTTAATCACTACACCAAACTGGTAACCGGAAGAGACCCCCCCCCCACCTCCCCACAAAATCAGGAGTAGGCAACTTTTCTGGGCACAAGCGCAAAAACAAGCAAACAACAAAACCCACCCACGTTTACTTGTGAAGGTGCTCCTGACCTAGCAAAGGCAAAAGTAAGGAGAGTGAGAAAGAGATTTTTTTCAGACACGCTGGGAGAAAGCTGCACCCCAGTGGTACTGCCAGCACCTTAGGAACACACGTGGGACCCAGAGGTTGGATGTGTGGGCCCAGAGGGCAATGACAGACCCAAGACATGCCTTGTCTTTTCCAACCCACCAGATCCAGTAATGCTTTCAGCATCTCAGGGTCTTGCTTCAGTTGCATGGGCAGAGAACTCTGTGCTGAGCAGAAAGCCTGGTCACCATTTGGCACAGAGACCGGGGTCTGCCCGCCCCTGCGCTACGCTATCCTGGACATACCTCCTCCAGGGAGCAGACGTGGGTCAACGTCACGGACCTCTCGCCTTCTGTGTTGCAGACGCTGAGCTGGGAGGGCTGCAGCACTCTGGCCAGCTCTAAGATCAGCACCTGCCAATGAAGGCGCACAGAACATGAAGACCAAGCCCCAGCAGGCCCTGCACAGCCTCTCATCCCCTGCGGCAACAACCAGTGGGATTCTCCCGTATCATGGAATGCAGTGGGGGTTAGTCCCGGAAGGAATTCTTGGAAGCACTGCTCCCCTCCTCTGCTTTAACCTCACAACAACCCTGCAAGGCAGGTTAGACACAGAGAGACTGGCCCACGGTCGTTCAGAGTGGGGATCTGAACCCAGGAGGTTAGCTGTGTGACCACTTTTCTACCTCAAAGTGTCTTTGGGGATGGGAGTTATTTGCAAGTGGAGAAACAGTGAGGGGTGGGTGGGTGCTTAACCCTTCCCCTGGTACTCTGGCTGTTCTCCCCAGCGACATTTGGATGCCATGTAATGAGAGGGCTTGTGGGTCAGCCACACAGTTAATAAATACTGTGTGTGTGTCTTCACCCAAGGAAGAAAACTGTGCTCTGAAAGACTGTCCTGGCAGAGGGTTGAAACGGTAGGAGCCTGAGCCCAGGTACAGCATCCCCGCGTGTAGCTGCTATCAGGTGTGGAAGACTGTGGTGTATACAGGGCTGAAGTTCTGAAAGATGGGCAGGTGGGAAACCAGAAATCAAAAGGGTTCACCTCCCAAGCTGAAAACACACTCAGCTCTGTAAGAGCAACCAGTTTTGCAGTGACTTTGCAGTGACAGCCAGAACCCACAGCGTGGGCGGGCAGACAACTTTTCCTACCCTAACCTCCAGAAATCCTGACCCCACCTCAAAAATCTGCAATTAGCATTGCCCACGCAATTTAACTTACATTTATCTTACATCCATTATTCTGCTTTTTCTAGTACTGAGGAGGCAGAAGAAGCTACAGAGGGTACTGATAACCTAACTAAGCCCCAGAAATCCCAACCAATTTCCTCAGGCTAAATAGAATCCATTTATATTTGCAGGATTCAGGACTAGAAACCAGACTGAAAACAGCCATCTTGAAATCCATACTGTAATTTTTCAAAAATTCTTATTGTGTGTTTGGCTGTCTCCATCTGGATCAGCGGCAGTTTGCACATTCGTGTTTCTGCACAGCCCAATGATTTTCAGCCACACCCTGGCATCATTTAGTTGCCTGACCCAGCCTTCCATGACCCGGGGGGAAATCGATTTCACCCACAGCTCAGGAGAAAATCTGGCTGCAAGGCAGACAGACAGACGTGGAATTCCACCACCACAGCTACCACATAGCCACAAAGCTACTTGGCACACTGCTCAAGTTGGGGGCTGAACAGCAAATGCAAGACGAGGCTGATCTGAGGCTCTGTTCATGAGTGCTCATGGCTGATGAGAAAGTCAGTTCACCTGCCGAACATTTTTGCTGAAAGTTCTCAGCATCCCAACGTACCGGGCATTGCTCTGTGGAAACAAAGGTCTGGCATGACTCCATCAAGAATCCCAACCAGAAATCCACCAGCTCCTGTTTGGGTGACCATATGTCTGAAGGAGTCTTGAAGTGACTGTATATGGTGTATGTCTCCTTGATGGAATTCAGGTACCTGGGGTGGGCAGGGGAAGGAAGAGAGAAAGAGAAATGCTCTCTTGAATAGCTTATCTCAGACAGGCTTCCACTTCTCTGATGCAAAACTGCACATTTTGTGTCTTTTTTAAAAGCCCTGAATAGTGCTTAACTTGCAATAGAAGAAAATCTGCAGGCATAGAATCATAGAGTTGGAAGGGACCTCTAAGGTCATTTAGTTTAACCCCCTGCACAAGGCAGGAAATTCACACATACCTCCCCCCCACATCCCCCGCAACAGCTGTTTCATGCCCAGAAGATGACAAAAAAATCTGCAGGATCTCCAGTCAAACTGGCCTGGAGAAAAATTGCTTCCTGACCCCAAAGTGGTGATCAGCATTTCCCTGAGCATGTAAGAGGGGCCACAAGAACCAAGCACTGATACAACCCTTCCTGCCCTCCCTCTCATGAGCTGCCTAAGTTCACAGAATCAGCATTGCTGACAGATGACCATTTAGCCTCTGTTTGAACACCTCCAAAGAAGGAGAGCGTACCACCTCCCGGGGAAGCCTGTTCCACTGAGGAACCACTCTAACTATCAGGAAGTTCTTCCTAATGTTTAGCCAAAAACTCTTCTGATTTAATTGCAACCTGTTGGTTCTGGTCCGACCTTCTGGGGCAACACAAATCAACTCCACACCATCGTCTATATGACAGCCCTTCAAGTACTTGAAGACGGTTACCTTATCACCTCTCAGTCATCTCCTCTCCAGGCTAAACATACCCAGCTCCTTCAACCTTTCCTCATAGGATTTGGTCTCCAGACCCCTCACCATCTTTGTTGCCCTCCTCTGGACACGTTCCAGCTTGTCTATATCCTTCTGAAATTGTGGTGCCCAAAACTGAACACGATACTCTAGGTGAAGTCTAACCAGAGCAGAATAAAGTGATACCATCACTTTGCGTGATCTGGACACTATACTTCTGTTGATACAACCCAAAATGGCATTTGCCTTTTTAGCTACCACATCACGCTGCTGACTCATGTTCAGTGTATGGACTACTAAGACCCCTAGATCCTTTTTGCACATACTACTGCCAAGACCAGTCTCCCCCATCCTCTAATTATGCATTTGATTTTTCCTACCTAAATGCACAACTTTACGTTTATCCCCATTGAAATTCATTACATTTCTTTTAGCCCAGTTTTCCAGCCTGTCAAGATCATCTGCCCCAGCAGAGATTAGAATAGTAAAGCATAGCAAGTTGTACTGTAGCCTTACATTTATAAAGGATCCTGGGAAGTATAGTTCTAGTATCCTTAAAGTCAGCTGGTTAGAAGTAGCCTTCCTGATTAGTTCTATACAGCCTCCCTTTCCTTTGATACATTTGCCGGGGGAAAGTTATCTATTATCCTCCTCCTCCCAGTGTGTGTTTGTAATCTCATAGCTAACAAAACGGGAGAAATTCAGCTTCTTTTACCACATGAATCACTCAAAGACTCAGGACTTTAAGGCTCCTAACAACTCTATGAAAACTGAACCTTTGGATGCTTAAAAGTTAAATAAAAGTTGATTCTAAAGGAGTAATGATTGAGTGTTAAATACAAGTTGATTCTAAAGGAGTAATGATTGCGTGTTAAATACCTTCCAGTGTGCCTCGCTGCCTTGCAACTGCCAACTCAAGAGGAAAATCTGAGGTTAATGAGCCAAATCGATGGCTCTCTTGCAAGCAACGAGACCCAGCTGCGAGCCACCGATAAAGGATGGGGCTTCAGATGGGGTAGGTGTGGGAGCAATTCATCAATTTTCTGGAGATGCGAAACCACACCACCGGGGCCTATTCCTGTCTGCAACTCCTAAACCTTTGGCTTCAACCCCGGACCTGCTTGACTACGCCTCTTGAACCTGCTCAGACTCTCCTTCTTGGATCCTCCGCTGGCTTCCCTTGTGTGTGACTCTTGGACTGAACTCTCAACTTTGCACTTCTGGTTAGTGATTCTGTCTCGTCCCTATTGGTCTCAGCTGAGTTTGCTCTGACCCAGGACAGGTAGTTACCCGGATCCTCCTTCCCCCCCCCTTCTTGAAGATGGCTAAAACATTTGCCCGCCTCCAATCTTCTGGCACCTCATCTATTCTCCAAGAATTTTCAAAAATAATGGACAGAGGCTCAGAAATTACATCCACAAGTTCTTTTAGTACCCTTGGATGCAGTTCATCTGGCCCCAAATACTTAGTTTCATTTAAAGAAACTACGTGTTTATGTACTACCCCTCTGCCGATCCTAGGCTGCAACTCCCTTCCCTCATCATGTGTTCTGTTTTTGCCATGTTGAGCACTGTTTCCCTCACATGAAAAGACTGAGGAAAAGTAGGAATTGAGCAGTTCTGCCCTCTCTTCATCACCTGTCCCCACTTTCCTGTCCCCACAATGAGCCTACCATGTCCCTGCTCTTTTTCTTACTTTGAACATAAGAAAATAATCCTTTTTTGTTGTTTCTAGCATCTCTTGCTAGCCTAAGCTCATAGTGAGCTTTAGCTTTCCTAACTCTCTCTCTACAAGCACTGGTTATTTGGCTACGTTCATCCTTGGTTATAAGGCCCACCTTCCACTTTCTAAATTAGTCTTTTTAAATTTCTCATAAGAACATAAGAGACGCCAATGTTGGATCAGGCCAAAGGGCCATCCAGTCCAACACTCTGTATCACACAGTGGCCAGAAATACCAGGTGCCATCAGGAGGTCCACCAGTGGGGCCAGGACATTAGAAGCCCTCCCTCTGTTGACCCCCCCAAGCACCAAGAAGACAGAGCATCACTTGCCCCAGAGTCCCTATCTATACCTTGTGGCTAATAGCCACTGATGGACCTCTGCTCCATATGCTTATCTAATTCCCTTTTGAAGCCGTCCATGCTTGTAGCTGCCACCACTTCCTGTGGCAGTGAATTCCATGTGAATTCCATTTCTCAAGTCTTTAGAAAGCTGGTTATGGAGCCACCTTGGCTTCTTTAGGCCCCTCCCATTTTTCCTTCTCATAGGAATCGTTTGTGAGTGTGCCTTCAGTATTTTGCTCTTAAGAAACTCCCATCCCTCTTGAACTCCCTTCTCCTTAAGTATTTCTGACCATGGGATTCTACCCAGCATAACTTCAAGTTTGTCACAATTTGCTTTCCTGAAGTCCAACCTATATGTCTGACTACGTACAGCTTTTACCTTCCCCAAGACTGTAAATTCCATAACTACAGGGTCACCGCTACCCAGTCACCATCTTCTTTCCATCAAGTGGGTTCTCATTTATCAGAACACAGCAGATCCTTGCCATTCCAGGATTTGATGATCTCACTTATTTGCTACAGTCTCCAGCAAGTTCCACACCATCATTGGAATCGTTACCTTGTTACATTTTGTGAGTGGTTTTGCTACTGCAGGGCAGCTGACCCCCAATATCCAGCATTCACAGATTTCGCCAAAGAAAAAAAAAAGATCCTGGGAACGGATCTTCCACAAATGGTGAGGGTCTACTGTAAGTAACTGCAGAATGATTATAACTACCTTTTGGCGCTAATTCCCAGTAAAAAAAAATAGACCATGAAGATACACAGGATCATTCAGTAACATGAAAAGAGGCCTTTGTCCTATTATATATTAGATCTACAGCACAAAAAAAGAAATTATGTGCCCTTCCAAAAACTGCGGTCACTGATGTTTTTCATATTCCAATTCATTTCTGCTGTCCTCAGGGTATTAGCATCCAGTTAGAGTCTTTGACCCAGCACCCAGAGGAGCCAACGTTCCCAACCACATACCAAACAGGGGCGTTGAGCTTGTAAAGTTTCTCTGAGGCTTGAATGATTTTGTCCATGTCAGCAGCCAGAATACTTGCACCCAGGTAGAAACCAACATCCCAGTAATGCTCCATCTTCTCTAAGCACCCCTTGCGACCAAGGACACAGCTCAGCTTCATACCTGGGAGGAAAAAAGAAGAGACTTTTCTACAGGTGAAACAAATTTTGTTAGGGTGGGGGGGCAGTGTTGTTCCCTCTAAGCTGATTTAGTGTGAGCTAGCTCACGGTTTTTTAGCCTCCGGCTCACACATTTTTGTCTTCGCTCAGGAAGGACGGCTCCAGAGCCAACTAATTTATGCAGTAGCCAAATCGCTCGCTCACAACTTTAATGGCAGTAGCTCACAAAGTAGAATTTTTGCACACTAGACTCCACAGCTTAGAGAGAGAGCACTGAAGGTAGAATTCTCAAGCAAATCCCCAAATATGTTATGGCTTTCTGGCTCAAAAATGAGTGCCTCCCAGGAGGTGCATCTTGGCCTGCGAGCCCTTTGACTTGGTCATAGATACAGATTTTCTTATGTCAACATGCTTGGAAACCTCTCTGTAGGGGCAAGCTGGGAGGAGCCCCTCCTGTTTGTAAACAGTAACCAAACATCTGCCCCCCCAAAACAAAGAGTAGATCCCTTGCTGCAGGAAATGTTTCAGAAGAGGCCAGGAGGCACTGTATCCAGAGGTCATTTCGGGGGGGATCGGGGGGGATTGCAGTTCCCCCGGGTGAGGTGCGGAGGGCAGGGCACATGACAAAGCCCCGCCCCCTGCTTCCGGCCGCCCTGCTTCCGGCCCTCATTCACCCAGGAGGAGGCAGGAGAAGAGGGAGGGTAAGTTGCTTCCTCCCTGCCTCTCCCCACCCCTGCCTGCCTGGGGCCAGGGAGGGCCTTCGCGGGGCTTCCTTGCACGCCCGCCGGCCTTGCAGGTCCACCGCCGGGCCCCTCATGGGGCTCGGCAGTGGAGCTGCAAGGCCGGCGGCGGCCGGGACCGTTGGGGGAGGTGTGTGTGGCCTTATGACACACTTCCGGTGATGTCAGGGGGTGTGGCCTTATGACACACTTCTGGTGATGTCAGGGGGTGTGGCATATGCTAATGAGTTATGCTAATGAGTTCCCCTAGCTCTTTTTCTACGAAACGACCCCTGACTGTATCTGTACCTGAAGGAGCACCTATTCAGAAGCAACAGCCTCCATTGTGCGAGGAGTGTGGCCTTGGAGACTCCCAACAGTTTGTGACTGGTCTTACCCTAGCCATGTTGTGGTGGTTCCCACTACCCTTTCTCAAAATTCCAAAAGTGCCTGTAAGCGTAGAAATTCCACCTGCATTAGCTGAACTGCTTGGGGAAAAACACACACACAACCCACTCTCATTTATATTTTGCTTGACTTGAATGTGTCCTGATATTACCAATCATGATGCTGTTGGATCGAGCATGAAGAGATTGAATTGGGCAAGCTGATGTTTAACAGCTGTCAACAAGAGTTACATGCTTTCAGACTTAACTGCCAAAGACTGTTTAACCAGTTAACCACCTGGCAGCCTTTCTTAAAGGATTGCGATGTCTACTTCTCACACATATTTGACACTGCTTTCCTGTAGTCCCCTTGTGAGAGAAAAGGAAAAGGAAACTGGCGCACCTATCTGCCGGAGTTGCACAGAAGTTTCAAACTTGTGCCCAGCAGCCATGAGGAAGACTACAGAGTTAATCCCGGGATGCAGGCTGGGTTCCGTTAAGAAGGCCTTGTGGTACCTGCAAAGTGAAAAGTGTAAAGAAGCTTCAGATTGAGGAACTAAGAAAAGGCTTCCTCCACTCTTTGGCACAAGATTGGGACCTGATTTAAACATGACACCAGCTGAATTAAGAGCGCTCACTTGGGACATGGCACTTACGTGGCGGTTTATTTACTCTGGGCCACTACCCATGCAACGTACTTACACAGCATGCCACTCCAGGCAAACGCCCTTAAGAATCACCTTCATACCCTCAGCCATGTTGAGACTGATATCCAGAAAACATCCCTGCTCCCCAGAAGCGCAGGCCCCAAGGAAGACTTTCTGTTCCTGCGGCACCCCACCTTCTTCCATATCAACCCTAGCCAAATCAAGGTAAAGTCAATAGGTATTTCAGAGTAACCCTTTCTTGCCTTGATAAGTTTGGCCTGCTGGGGCTTCTAAAAGGGCCTTTTCTGTGGTGGCTCCCTCTCTCTGAACCACCTTAATCGAAATGGTTAGAAAGGCTTTCTCTAGTTTGGAAGAGGTTGTCAAACATTTCTTTTTTGAATAGCCTTTGGATATTTCCATTTACTGCATGTATAGCCAACATGCAGTGTGGCATTGTAGTTAGTGTGTTAGGTTTGGACTGGAGAGACCCAGGTTCAAATCCATACTTGGTTAGGAAGCTTGCTGGGTGGCCTTTGACCACCATTCCTACCCATTCCACATCAACTCCTTCCTTTCCCCCTTCCAGTGAGATTTACACTTGAAAATGTAAATGTCAGCGTAGTATGATTTACACCAAGCCTCTCCTCCACAGCTTTTCCCATAAAAATGTCTCAGTACGGTTTCCCACCACATATCTATCTGACAAAGTCAGCTGTGACCCATAACAGCTCATACCAAAACAAATGTAGTTAGTCTTTAAGGTGCTGCTGGATTTTCTTTTATTGATCTCCACTCAGTCTGTTAGCCTTGTCTACCTTAAAGGATCATTACAAAAATACACTGGAAGAGGGGAGATTCATGTAGACTGCTGTGAGCTCCTTGCACAGAGGACAGGATTGAACCTTGGGCCCCGTCTTCTGTAAACAGCTGACCTAGTGGGGGGTGATTTTCGACTTGATGATCATTTCAAGTTTGCTTTTGTTGCACTGCAATCCATGCATTTTGTTTTATGTCTGGAGTGAGCGGGAAAGACAGCCCAGCAAGTGCTTTCAGACCATCGATACACTGGTTGAAGAGACCATGGCTCAGTGACAGAGCGCCTGCATGGCATGCAGAAGGTTCCAGGTTCGATCCCGGGCATCTCCAGCTAGAAGGACCAGGTAGGAGGTGATGTGAAAGTCCTTCACGGCAGATCCTGGAGAGCCGCCGCAGGTCAGAACAAACAATACTGACTTGGAAAGACCAGTGGTCTTGGAAAGATCTTCCTCACCAGTAAAAAGCCTGATCTCGGTTCTCAGCATCTGTGAAGCCGGAATCAATGAACATGTCTTTGTAGATGCGGCCACACATGCAGTACAAGTCAGGCGCCACCCCTTCAGGCCTTTCCACCAGTGGCAGAAGAACAGAGAGCGCCTTCTGGCGGTCACTGGGCTGGTTCCGCCTGCAAATACATTGCACAAATGCTCAGCATAAAAGGGACATAAAGAGCCAGCCAGTGCCAGCTTCAGAGTTTGAGGGGCCTTTGAGCAAAATGCTCTCAAGTGGGTTCTCCCCTGCCCCTGAGTGAGCCGCCTGCTTTGCTGCTAACAGTCATACCCCCCCCCCCCCGTCCCTGGCTGTGGGCCCGATTAGCACTATGCCCCCCGGAAGGAGAAACAGAGGCTGTGAGCAGCGCCTTCTCGTGGCTCCTCTGCCTGCACACTCCCTCAAATATGGCGAGCAACACACAGCAACGGCAAGAGGAGAGGCTGAAAGGCTCCAGGTGTTGGCAGTGGGTCCCCTTCCTGGGGTGCAGGCTTTGCCTGGTGCCCCACAGTACTGACCCCCGGACAGGGCCATCACACAGCAACACAGAAGACAAACAATCAATCCTTCTTAAGGGGAACAGCTGTCCTGATACCCTCGTCTAGAAGGATTTCATGCCTCTAGGCCCGGGGAGCCATGGAGATCTCTGGGACTGGGGACAAAGCTGGGCTGGTTCTTTGGCCAAGCCACCCAAGCTCAGAGGCCCCTCAAAACCTGACGTTGGCACAGGGAGCCCACAGAGATCCACTCCTGGCTGACCAGTGCTGGCACGGACCTAGCCCGAGGAAACAAAATAACTTCAACCTGCCCAGCTCAGCAATGTTCCTCACCTGTCAAGAGCAAAGGCGTAGTGGAAGCAGATGTTGTGTTGCTCAGCGATGTTGCAAGTGGGCAGGGTCTGCAAGGTCTCCACCAGAACGATGATGGCATCAAAATCCTGAAGGGGATATCAAGAGAAGCTGCCTTGCACGAAACACACAGTCATCCTCTAGACCAGGGATGTTACTGGATTTTGTGGATACCCTGTCCCTGTTTGCGCATTATAATCACACATACTGGGAGCTGTGAACTGCATGTAATCGGAGCATGTACTATCCATGACCCTAACCCATGCACACTGTTGCCATGGTGTATGACCAGGGGCAATGCATGTATTTACCATGCGTATACAATATTGCTGTTTGTGAATGCAAACCCTGGAAAATCCAGCAGTCAGTTTGCGCATGCTGAGGCTGTTCACAGTACACTGTGATTGTGCATATTGGGAAGACTGCGAGTAATGCGCACACCTGACATGCGTGGTCAGTAGGCTCCTGGTATGCAGGACTGTAATGTCTGGAAAGCTCTACTGTTTCCATTTGAAAGTTTCTAACATGGGATCTCACTACTCAGAACTAAAACACAGTGGTCTTTCCTCCCCTGACCATAGTAACAAAACTGGAAAGAGGTGTTCTCGTTCAAAGCGATGCCAGTTCTATGTGTGTGTCAATTGCATAAAAATTGTGTAAAAAAGCCAGACAAATGAGGAACAATTGGCAACAAGTGAAATGAAAAGGCTCCCCCACATAAGAAAATAGAAAGCAACGGAAAAGGGTATATTTGAACACCCTTGCAATGTAAAATCAAACCCAGTTTCACCCAGGCTAATGTAGTTCCTTTACAAGAACTGTACCCGTGACACCAGAAAATCTAGCTAAATGGTACCCAAATATGTTGAATGATTGCTGGAAATGTAAACAAAAAACCGGTTCATTTTTTCACATGTGGTGGACATGCAAAGTTGCCAAAAAAAAATAGGATATGGATTCATGAGATATTGCAAAAGATATTAGATATAACTGTTCAATTTGTACCAGAACTGTTTTTATTAAATATAGTACCAGAGACATTTAAGAAACCAGATACATATATACTCATGCATGTACTAACTAGGTCTAGAATTTTATATGCCAAATATTGGAAGAAGGAAGAAGTCCCATCAAAAGAAGAAACAATCTACAAATTATTGGAAACAGCAGAAATGGATAAACTGACTTTACAACTACAAGAAAAACAAGAAGAAACCTTTGAAAAGAATTGGGCAAGAGTTTACAAATGGTTGGAGGGCTATCTTAAGAAACCTTAAAAACAGGTTATAAGCTCTCAACATGAAAACTAAAAAATGAAACATGTGTATACAGGATAGATTCCATTTAGACAAATGTAAGCGAAAGTAATGAGTACGGACTTTAGGCTTATTGTTTGTCGACTTTTCTTTCCTGTATATGTTATTCTCTGTCTCTTTATTCTTTCTGAAAAATAAAAAACTTTATAAAAAAGTACAATAACTGTACCTGAAATAGCAGATCTGTAGCTTGGGGGATGCTGCTGGATCCTAGCCTACAGTTGGAGACCCAGGGGCGTGCAGGCCACATAGCACCTTTCATTAGCTTCAACTGATGCATCAATGATGGCTTTCCTTAAAAAGTATGATTTGGCTATGGCGATCCAGGTTAGATCTCTGAATACTGCTCAGAAACTTCAACCCATCCTAAATGCAGCAGCCAGATTGCTGTTGGAGGCTGGAAACAGGGAAAGATCTGCTATGGCTGCCTGTTTGTTACCAGGCACAATTCCAAGCCCTGGCGCTCACCTTGGGACGGGGGCACCTGAAGGCCCGTCTTCTCCCATACTGTTCATTTCACCAATTAAAGTCATTGTGTGCAACTGTGCCACTGTTACTGGGCTAGAGATGTGAAGGCCCAGAAAAAAACCAGAAAAATTCGGGGGGGAAACGATTTCCCCCCGTTTTTTTCCCGAAGCTTTTTTGTTTTTTTCCAAAAAATTGGAAAAATTGAGAAAAGAAAAGGAAAAAAAATTGATTATGGAACGTTTTATTTTAACATGATGAATAAAGTATTTTAAGACAAGGTGTTCAAATATTTTCCAAATCATTTCTAAAATATATATATATGGTATCAGATTGATCTAATTTCTCTGCACTGCGGACAAGCAAGTCCTAGGTTACAAACTGAACTCTCCAATGCAAGAACAAGATTCATTTCTTCCTTTAGGAGGTGCTATTGTCAGAAGAAAAGAAAAAGGTTTCAGTTTTGTTTTTGCATGTGGGTGGGTATTCTGTTTGTAATAATCGTTTGGATACACTATATTTTTAATATGCTAGTTGTGATAATTTCATGCCAAGTAAAAATGTCCATAGTCATATTTTATGTTCCTAAAGTAACCGAATGACTTTCAATCTAGAAAAGACAATAGAAATGCTAATGTAGCAATTTTTTTCAATTTTTCCGAAAGTTTCCGTTTCCCCCCGAAAAAAACGGGGGGGAAACGGGCTTTTTTCTGAGCTTCAAAATTTCCAGAAATTTTACATCTCTATACTGGGCTGATTGGACTAGTGAATCCCACTCACCTGAGCATCACGGTAGGCTAGGAGAAAATTCATGACGATGTCAAGGCTGAGGCACTCGACACTGTCTAGGCGTTGCTGAATGCTGGTCAGCTCATGGCTCAGCTGTGCTCCACTGTATCTTTCTCGAGCCCTCCGGATGTCGCTCCGGATCATCTCTCGGAAGTAGCCGCTGGAGAAACAACAAAGGTCTGAATGTGACTGATCTTGGTTTACACAGAAGAGTTTACCTAGTTTACCTAGGGATGAATTCTCATACAGCCTAAGTTTACCTAGGGGATGAATTCCCATACAGCCTGGGCATCTGGGATCCCCAGCCTTGTTGAACTTGTGGACTTTTTTAGAAGGTTGAGAAAAGGTAGTGATTGCGACCACAAAATGGCTGCCATAGAGGTGGAGCCACTCATAAAATAGTGGGAGGCCCCAAGCTAAGTGTCTTCCTACAATATAGGCAAAGAAAGAAGATGGGTGTGAAAGGAGGATGAGAAATTTCAGGTCCACAAGTGTCAGTCTTCCATACAGCCCAATATTCTCTCCAAGACCCTTGAGCTTCTATACCAAGAGCTGTCAAACTCATTTGTTATGGATCTCACACAAATGTCACTTCGTTGGGCCAGCCGGTGTGCCATAAAATGTAACGCCAGGTACTGCAAATACAAACTTTATACAAGGCAGCAGCTGGTAAACCCCAAGTTGGTGTGTCCCCACAGCAAGGCTGTGTGGGCTGGGGGGGGGAGTGAAGAGGAAAAACCGCATGGGTGGATTGGAGAGCCAGCAGTGCAGCGCTGGGCGGATGCCCCCACACTCTCTGGAGGGTAGGCAAACCCCTTTTCCAGCCTGCCCCCACCACCAATGCAGTCAGCCTGGGCCCCTGGGTAAAAACACAAAGTGGCTAGATGTTGCGAGCTCCCCCCTGACCTTGAGCCACCAGGGAAGGGGACTGGGAAGACACTGAACTAACCCCCACCACCACCACTTGTAGAAGCAAGGTGGTGGTGGCCCAGGCACGAGGCCACATGCATGGCGGGATGCAGGCCAAGCAAAGCCTGGCAAACTGGAGATGTCAGTGTAGCGGTGGCTTTCTCTGGCCAAGGTCGCCAGGCAGGCGATCCATGGTGAGGTGATGCTGGGGGTTGAAGCCAGGGATCATAGGCAAGCTGTACCATCCCCATGTGGTGGCATCCACCCCAGACTGGAGGCTGCCAGATTGTCTGATGGGGGAGCGGGATGCCAAGTTGCGTGCTTGGTGGCAGGACTAGGCCCCTGATGTGTGGAAGAAACTGCCAAAGAACACCCCCCATGGGCCAAAGCACAGCTGCCACATGGGGGGAGGCGTGGATATGGTGGCACTGGCCACCAGCAGGCCCTAGCAGAGGATCCTCTGCACGCCCCCCTACACAAATGCCGATCTCCGGAGCTGCAGGCTTAGCGAAGAGGCGTGCAACCTCACCTTGGAACCCTGAGCCAGCATGAATGCGGCTGCAGCGGCTCCCAGCTTACCAGAGAGACTGCCACTGAAGCAAAGAAGCTCTGATTGATGCAGATGACGTTGTTCTTCCATGCTGAAGCCACAATCAGAGTGGCTCCACCTACTCCCCCCCCCCGAGCAGCCTCCTGTTCTCTCCATCACACCAGTTGCTAGCAGGCCAGATAAGAGCCCTGGGCGGGACGGTTCCGGCCCCTAGGCCTTGTTTGACATGGGGCTGTTCTACACCGCAGGGAAGGTACAGGCTGGGTGCTGTACTCCAAGAGCAGGGCACAGGAGACCAAGGCCCTGTTGTTGCTTCCCAGCAACTGGTCTTCAGAGGTACACTGCCACTCGATATGGAGACTCCATCTGGTCATCAGGGCTAAGAGAGACTGATGAACTTTTGTTCCACAGATTGCCTTAATCCTCCTTCTAAAGCCATCTTGGGGACATCACCACATCCTGCAGTAGTTCCATATGGTACTCATGCTCTGTATGAAGAAGTACTTTGTAAGGGCTGTCCTGAATCAACCACCCACTAACTTCTGTAAGTTTCAGTATTCTGAGAAAAGGAGAAAAGTTCTCTGCTTTCTGCACACCAAACGTCATTGCATAGACCTCTATCACGCCCCCATTAGTCTTCTAAACTGAAAGCCCCAAACTGAAAGCCTCATTAGGAAGGCACACCAATTCCTTCAGCACTTGGTTTCCACACTTACATCTTTCTCTTTTTTTGGAGGCAGGATGGCCAGAACTGTATACAGCACCCCAAATGCTGCAAGATTTTTCATGCCAGTCCTCTAGTAAGAAACACATGTTCAGAATTGGAGCCCCCAAAACAATGCACTCATGTGACGAAACTGGCAAGGGCGACCACAACTTCCTGCCACAATTCTGGAAAAAGCAAGGAGGATGTGAACAGTAGGGCTCCTTCTGCTTTTTGGCCTGGTGGAAAGCCCACGGTCAGAAGTGAAGCACATGATGTGCAAGTTAGCTTTTTTGGAAGAAGAAGCCGTATCCCCAACTGGAGGTGGCACACAGCACGTTTATGGTTGCCAACCTGGAAAAAATGTCCTGTCCCTTTAACAGAGGTAAGGTTACTATGTGCCCACTGAGGGCAGGAAATCTCCTGCTCCCAGCAGACACGGTCTGCCTGCACTCCAGTGGCCAGAGGCGGCGGGGGGGGGGGGGGCACATGAGGACTGAAGTCATGTCACACGTCTCTGAGAATCTCTGGTTTTTAACCACAGAGTTTCTGACAATTCCTAGAGAGGAATGAAGTAATTTCCTGGTTTCTTCAGAAGTGACATTATGCCATCACAAACTGCCGCCCCCCCCCCCCCCCGTCTCCCATGTTGTCAGACTGGGCTTGACAACCCTGGATAGAGGCTTAATGGGTGCAAATGAGCAACGGAAGCTTTCCATGGCATGGAAATAAAAATATGGCTTGATAAATAACATCCTCTTCTTCAGATAGTTGGCAACCCTAGGTACTTCGATGCAGGGAGACAGTGTGGTTTAGGACTGGGGAAATCTGGAAAAGGAAAACCATGTATGCCATCCAGAGTGGCACAGGATGAAAACGTACAGGTAGATAAATAGAGAAGTGGTTCATCTGTGCCATTCATTGCATCTGTAAACCTTTTCTTTACATGGGACCTTGACAAAGTGGTGAGGGGACAAATTCAATCCCTGGCCTGCTCTGGGTCAAGGAACTTGGGAAACAAGACAACGGCTTTGCCTGTTGCTTCCCATCAGGGAATCCAGGGCAGGTGACCAATGTGCTGCCGCCTCAGTATGAGGGAGCTGCATACTTCCAAGCCCTTTCAGCCAGGCCAATCTGATACATGGCTTAAGGACAGATCTCAGCTGGGCAATCTGTCCCTTCTGGAGACTGGCAGCCAACAGTGCTAAATTGGTATTCTGTTCTTGAACTTCCTTGGGACAGCCAGCGTGGCGTAGTAGATAGAGTGTTGGACTAGGATCTGGGAGACCCAAGTTCAAATCACCACTCAGCCCTGGAAGCTTTGAGTGTCCACTGGAGACAAAGGTAGGGTAGTAGTAGTATGTTTATTACAGCATTGCGCCAAACATTAACCAAGACATGTTTGGATATAGAGTTATAAAATATCTAGGTAAAATGCAATAAATATATATAAGACCATAAAAATGTATGACAAATGCAGTAAGAAATAAAAAAGAGCAAAAACAGTTTTATAATTTTAGTCGTACATTTCTAATGTGATAGCATGTCGCCCAAAATTTAGCCACAGTTTCAGTAATAATCCGATTTTCTTTTCTTTTCTTTTTTGAGCCCACAGAGGGGATTTTTTTAATTGATATTTTTAACACTACAAAAAACTACAACAGAAAAGGGGGAGGGGAAAACTACATATAAGGGAGAAAGTAAAGAACCCACTACTGACTAAAAACCCAAGAGAGGAGATCCTCTAACTAGCTTTTTTTTTTTTTAGCATCCAAACTTATCATCTTTGTACTTCTTATGAACTGTGTCAATCTTTTAGAACTTTTAACCCTCCCCATTTACATTTAATTGCCCAATAACAGTGCCCCCCATCATCCCCTGGAACCAAAGTTCTCAAAGGCACCATTCAGAGTCCTTCAGCCTTTACTACTTCTTCTCTCTTTTCCGCAGTTTGTAGGGACTTTTCGGGGCTGCTGCCCCCAGCTCAGACAAAGAGTCCTCACCAGATGAACCAGTTTCCAGCTCGCCGCTGGACCTGCTGTCTTCTTCTTTTTTCTCTTCCTCTGACCTTCCCAGCTGCTCCTTTAGAAATTCTTGAGCTTTAAGAACAGAGTCAATCTTAACCTTCTTCTCTTTGATCTTAAATGCTACTCCTTCTGGAAATAGCCATTTGTATCCAATTGAATTTGTTTGGAGGAAGAGCACAAGTTCTTTGTATTTCTTTCTCCGTTGCCTTACTTCAAATGGAATATCCTTTAGCATTCTGACCGCATTCTCCCCCACCTTCAGGGGTGTCACAGCCACTGCTTTCAGGATAGCATCCCTGATATGCCTCTTCGAGAATCTTACTACAATTTCCCCAGGCAGATTATTTTTCTTTATATATCCTGAATATGACCTGTAGGCCACATCCATATTGTTGAGTGACAATTCCGCCTTTATATCTGTTGCTGGGGCGAGTAGCTCACTCATCAGTTCTTTAAGATTCTCTCCTCTATTCTCTGGCACCCCTTGGAAGTGCAGGACCATGTTGGCCTTATCCATTTGCACTTGCAGCATCTGATCTTCCAAAGAAAGTTTTCTTTTCCAATTTTTGCACTTTCTTCCTCACTTTCTGCGTTGTCTCAGCTATTTCCTTTACTTTCTCCGCATCCTACTTCATTACTTGGATCAAGTCCGTTATTTGTGTCTATTGAGCAGTGATGCTTGTTGTTACAACTGCAAGCCGCTTTTGCTGCGCTGTTATATTCGCTGTTACCACTGACATCTGCTCTTTAAAGACATTGAGCTGTTCCAGTAGAGGGCGCATGACCTCAGCCATCGCCTTGGTCGTCTCACTGGTCGTTTCCGGTCTTCTGCAGCGCTCCCAGTCTGTCTGGCCAGATGTTTCTTTTACAAAAGTCGTGATATATTTGTCTCGGGCCTTATTTTACCAGTTACATCTAAACATCATATGTTCAATGGTTTCTACCTCCCCAGAATCACACTGGCAGAGTCT